TGTGGGGGAAACTGGAAGGTGAGGGCAGCGTGGGAGAGGTTGCAGGAAGGATCAGGGATGTGTGGGGACCAGGGAGGGGGTGAGGGAGCGGGAGAAGTTTGGGGAGGGACACTGGCACCCTGAAGGGGGATCAGATCTCCCATCCTGACATGCGCAGTTCACAGTCGGGAAAGTGGGTGTAGGACAACCAGGGCTGGCATGGCCTCCGGCACGGCTCCCTCTCAGCTGCCCGGGCACGGTGCTGTCTCCCCCCTAAAGCCCCGCAGAGGCTGAGGGTCAAGTTCTCTGCATGTGAGCAGGACACTGGCTCCCCATTTCCACTGTGCCTCTGCTGAGGGGCTCTTGGCCCCCAACGTCTCTGCACCTGTCCCCCTCCACGCCCATCACACCAATCACTTTTGTCCCCTGACTCATCTCAGCCCTCTGCCCCAAGGGTGCCAAGGTACCGGGAGCGGGGCTGGGCCACTCGCGCAAGCTGCACGAAAGGCAAGAGCCCTGCTCCAGCCACTGGCGGTCTCCCTCACAGACTCCTTGGCCCCTTCCCCTCTGCGCCCTGCTTCTCTGGGTCCCCTGGGCCAACTTCTGGGCCCACCCTGAACCCTGAGGCCTGGCTGCCTTTGCGTTCCTCCCTCTGCACCTCTCCGACTCTCTGAAGACCGACGCCCCCCTCCCCAGGGTCTCCCCTCGCTGGCTCCAAACTAAGAAGCCTGCTCTGGTGCTCCTGCAGGAGAAACTCTGGGCTGATCCGAACAAAGAGGGAGCCAGGCTGGCAATTTTCCGGCTAATTTCAGCTGTGTAGACAGCCAAATCAGAGAGTTCAGCGTTCTGAAGAGCCACCTCAGGCTTGAATTAGGCACCTCTTTAATTATCTGCAGCAGCCTGGGCCTGCCCAGGGGAACTCGGGCCCACAGAGGGGGTGCCGGCACCCCTGACTCACACCGTGACGTCACCCTTGTCATCAAGCCCACCTGAGGGCCTCCCCTTCCACTACCCGCCGCAGGTTCACAGCACGCAGCCCTCTGCCCTGCAGAAAGCGGCCCAGAAGCTGTCACCCAAGGAAGCGTCAGAGGCAGAAGGTGGCTGGGGACTGGCCAGGACACAGAACAGCCCCAGCCAGAGGCATGTATACCACGGGGCCCCCCAACGAGCACCTGCCCCGTCGTCCACCCACAGGCTTGCTCACACACACAATCGCAGCCATGCACTACCTTACAACATGCACTACCTTACACACTCAGTCACACACAACCACACGCTGCACACACATCACACTTATATAGACACGACAGACTGATACACGCACACTCATGCACACCCTTACATTACACAACTCACACGCACACACAACTCAAACAACTTACTACACATTTATACACATGTACAAGTTCACTCACACAGGCACACACAAACACACCCATGCTTATTTATCCACATGCACACGCTCAGTCATACACCCCCATGCTTACATACATACATGCACACAGGCTCACATGCACACACTCACAGTCACACACACACACTCACACAACAGTGAACCCCACAGAGAGGCTGAGGCACCAAGAGCTCTAGACCTCTGGCCCTGTCCCAACTGTCCCTTTGCCCCTGACCCTGCCGGTCCCCCTGTCTGTTTGGTGACCCTGAACCAACACAGGGGCCCAGGCTCTGTGCCATGGCTCAGGGCATCTGTCGGCACTGAACGGTGTGGACAGACAGCCGGCCCTGCAGAGCCTGGGTCTGTGTGAGCCCTTGTCCTCCTCTCCTCTGTGTCCACGCAGAGGCCCCCCTCTCCCAGAGCCTGCCCCCAGCCTCTGCCCCCTTCTCCCCACCCACGTGGGCCCCACATCCTACCTCCTAGGGCTTGCTTCATCACAAATTCCATGGCGAAGGCTTGGGTCCTGCAGCTGCTTCTGAGGGCGAGCCTTGTACCACGTGGTCGGCTGTCCTGTACCTAAGGGACAGGAGCTTGTCATGGGTCACTCTGACCTGCTTCCTCTCATCTCCGCCGCCGGCCAGCCCTGACTCTGCAGGGGGCTCTGCCCTTCACCCTATCAGGGTGGGTTCACCCTGCCCGACTGCTGGAAGGTCCCTCAGCCGCTGCAGAGTCGGGATGCTCACACCTGGGGGAGCGGCCGCAGGGCCAGCCTTGCCCAGCCTTGACCGGAGGGCAGGGCTCAGGGGCATTTGAAGGTGAAGCTAGGCTGCTCTGCTGGGCGGGTCCCAGAGGAGGGCGGGAGGCCGCAGGCCCTCTGCAGGGGAGCGGCCGGGCAGGGGTCTCGCAGGCCCTCTGTGGTCTCTCGGGGCGGGGCCCCGGGCCTCTCCTGACCGGCCGAGGGTTTTCCCTGCAGAGGCGGGGCCCCGCGGCGCTGAGCGGGCCAAGCGCGGGCGCGCGAGGACGCCTCTGCCGCAAAGCCCGTTCGGTCCAAACTTCTCCCCGGGCCCGGGAGCAAGGATGTGCAGGGCCGCCGCTCTCTCGCGTGGGGTCTTCTGGTTCCGAGGGCCGAGGGCCGGGGAAGGACGCGGGAGACGGGGCGAGGGAGGCGCGCGGAAGGGGGACGGGACGGCGGGCTGGCGAGGGCCGCTTCAGCACCGCGCGCTGGACAGCACCCGCCCAGCCGAGGCCTTGGGGACGCTCACCTTCCCGGCGGATGGGCGGGCGGTCAGCGGCGGGGGGCGCTCCGGCCGGCCGGGTCCATGTGGTGCGGGGAACTGCGGCGCGGCTGAAGGGCACGGCGAGGAGGGCGTCAGCAGAGCCCCCGCCCCGCCCGCGCCCGGCGTGACGAGGAGGGCGGAGCCAGGAGTGGGGGCGGGGCCACGGGACGGAGGGGCGGGGACAGAGCCAAGCCTTGGGGTGGGATGGCTCTGGAGTCGAGCGGGACTCAGGTGGGCGGAGTGACCGCCCTCTCCTCCCCTTCCTCTCTCCTTTGACTAACGGGCTCTTGGGAAGACCAGGGCGCCGGCAGGTGGGAGAGGACCCTTGGATCCCTCCGCCTGGTTGGGTGCCCACAGTCTTGATTCCGGGCGCCATCTCCCAGGGTCACAGCCGCGGCTTGTGTGGACCCCTAGGGGCTGAGCTGCAGGGATGCGTGACAGTCACTATCTGCCTGGTTCCAAAGCCTCTGCTACTGTGAGAAGAGGCCCTTCTCCCTCCATACATGAGAGAATGGTGAGGAGCTGTGGGATGGGTAAGGGGTGACCCCACACTCTGAATGAAGTGGTGGATGCCTGGTGGCTTGGACACAGCTGGTCTCTCTCCTGCCCAGCCTCTTCCTCTTCAGGACACTTCCTGTGGGCCTGTGGCCCCCAGACAGATGTGGCTGCTCACCTGTTCCCAGGTGTGTCACTGCGGCCCGGCCCTTCCTACTTTCCAAGGGTGGACTGGGAGCCCCAGTGGGGTCTTCAGGAAGAAATGCAGACACTTCTTCCCTGGTGCTGCTTCCAGACCCACTGCAACCCCACGGTTGCCCCAAGAGTCATGCATCACAGCACAGATGAAAGAGCTCCTAGCATTTTTGCCTCTGTCCCAGCTCATTTCTGCTGTCTCCTCAATCTGTGTCTCTGTTCTCTGTATCTGTTCTTCATGTCTTTCTCTGTGTCTGTCTTTGCTCCACCCCTCCCACGCCCCCCATGGGCTGTAATCCCTCAGCTTCCATTTTGCCCCATGGCTGGAGTTGGGGATAGGCATCACATACCCCAGGGAATAGAGGGTTGCTGAGTGGGGTTAGAGGCTGGATCCTGGGTGGGTCAGGGCTGGCTCAGAGTTCCAACTGGAGTCCCAGGTGCTGGGCGGGGCAGCAGCCAGGGCTGAGGCGGTGGGTGTGAAGTGGGCATGGGCATGTCCCACCAGTGCTGGGGGTCTTGGCCCTAAGAGCCTCTGCTGAGAAGCTCTGGCCAGCAGGCAGCGCAGGGGCTGGTCATGCCCCCAGAAGCATCCCGAGGCCGGGCATTCCTGGCCTAGAGCAGTGGCACTAGGACCATGTGCAGAGGGTTTTGGAGGAAGTGCTGCCATGAATGCCCTGTGCACCTTCATAGGATCACTGGAAGGCAGGAGGCCCCTCGGCTCCCCCTAGACACCACAGCTGATGTCTGCCTGTCCTGGAGGTCCACCAAAGTGTTTATTCTGAGCCTCCAAAGTTCATGAAGAACTTTCAGGAGCTGGGGGTCCGTCCAGCCTCAGTGGTGGCTCAGTAGGCTGCCAGCACCGTGGTGTGTGTGTGTGTGTGTGTGTGTGTGGTGATGGGGCTTAGCTGAGACCTTCGAACGTAAACTTAATCGAGTGCACTGAATTCTTATCTCCACTGCTGCTGGCACTGCAGAGCTGTCCCCAGCCTGGGGGACCTATCAAGGCAACAGGCCTGTGTCCCCACTCTGGACTGGAATCTCAGCACCTATTTATTTAGGTCATTCATTACTTTTTAAAAAGAACCAAGATCTAAAAATAGCAGCGGGTGACCAAGTGTGGAGCCTGATGCGGGCGAGGGCAGCTGACGGCCCCTCCAGCTGAGCAATGCAGCACGGGACTGGCAGAGGAGCCGCGAGCCGGAGGCACTCTCAGGATCACTGCCACAGACCCTTGGGGCCACCCACCAGAGCCAGGTGCCAGGGAGATCCCTGCTCAGCCCCACAAGCGGACAAGGCTTTACTGGAGAACACAGCTCCCTGAGTCCGGGGAGCTGGGCACAGTGGCTCCAGCATGACCTTCAGGCTTGGCAGCAAGCAGCTTCCACCCAATCTCCGCCTGAGGCTGCTGCTTGGGCCGCGCCTCCCAGTCCTGCGGCACAGGTTCCAAAGATGTTGGGCCCTGCCCCTGGGTTGCACCACACTGGACATCCACCCACCATCCATGGAGTCTGCAGTGACCACTGGCGCTGCTCCCAAGGCTGAGGAGGCCTCACTGCAGCACAGACCCTGGGTAGGGTCAAGCCCCACAAGGGGGTCCCCGTGCTGCATCTTCCATCAGCAAGGGCAGGAGAACTATGGCGTGGTCTGCGCAGAGACAAGCATGATCAGAAAATAGTTTAATTCTGTAGATGACCAGGCTGATTAGACAGGGAGAGGCCAGGGTAGGGGCAGGACGCAGGGAGGGCAGCCGGGGCACCGTCCACCCAGCGACAAATCACAGTCGTGACAATGGCAGCAGGAGAGTGACCAATACTGTTCCTCGGGGCAGAAGAGGGAGACAGACTGAGGCTTTGGAATGTGTTCTCTTCTTGCCTGGAATGCATTCTCCTGACCCTCCTCGGGCCTGCCATTCACGCAGCTGCCCAACCCCGCCACAACACAGGCGGGTACGACCCTCAGTCTGGCAGCCGCCTCTAGTTCCACTCACTGACATGATCACCGCGGCTCAGAACAGGGGCCGGGAGCCCTGGCTCTCAAACTCGGCCCAAGCATCATTCAGTTCCATGAAAATCATTCGGGCGTGCTGTTCGAAGGGCTGCCCAGTGGCCTGCAGAGCGGGGGTGCAGTTCATCAGCTGGGTCCCTACACTGTCAACTTCACCAGTGTCCTCACTGGCCCCGCCCCTCCCACTAGTCCCACCCCACTAGCTCCACTCACCCGCTCAGGCCCCGCCCCACTAGCCCACCCACCCAGGCCCTGCCCCATCCCACTCCCCGCCTACATGCTCAGGCCCCGCCCCATTCCACGAGCCCCACCCACCTGCTCAGGTCCTGCCCCTCACCTTGTCGGGGTGTACCACCAGCACAGCTCTGCGGTACTGCTTCTTCACCTGTGCTGGCGTCACCAGGTCGGCCATACCCACGGGTGTCCAGCGGCTCTCACCCTCCCACAGGACAGTGTGCAGTGTGGACAGCAGGGCCCGGATATTCCTCTCTTTGCCCTCAGTCCAGTCCAGGAGCTGTGGGGATGAGGTGCTGCAGGCAGACTGGCCATGACCCCACAGACCCCTGCCCAGATGCACAGACCCCATGGCTGGCTGTGGAGGGGCCAGCAGCATCCCAAGGGTCCTTTGACTTCAGCTGAATAGACCGGTGTCCACAGGGGTGCACAGCGGTGCTCAGACTACCCAGGCCACACAATCTGGATGACCCCACAGTGGCACAGGGCTGGCTGGCATCTCCCATTACCCTGACCAGCTGGGGAGGGGGGACACTTGTCAGACATGCAGTGGGGCAGAATTTGGGGCTACCATAGGCACAAAGCACTGCAGGGCTGACAGCTGCTGTGGCCCTTTAGAGGGACTCAGGTGCCACTGAGAACAGCCCCAGACTGTCCGCTCCCCAAGAGCAACCTCCTGACCACACGGGGGAGGTACAGCTGCCCATGTTCCCACAGTGGCAGGTGGACTCTCAGTCCCAGCCCCTGCCATTATTCTGAGCGAAGCCCCAGGTCCCCCCACCTTCATCTTGAGTGGGTCCATGTCCTTGGCCTGCTCCTGTTTCCTCATCTCAGCAATGGTCCTTGGTCCCTTCCTATCAGACTTGGAGGAGAAGCCCTGATTGGACAGCAAGTCTTCAAAATCGTTCTCAGACACTTTCGGCTTTTGGGCTGGAATCAGAAGCGAAGACAAGGATTCTGCTTGAGCCCAGCAACGCTCATCAGGGAAGACCACCCTGGAGCCCAGGGTTGTTCCTACACCCCTGGCAGCTGCTTCAGGACACACCTCAAAGAGGTTGCCCAGGAGCACAGGGAGAGGGTGTGGGTTGTGGCGCCTCCACACAAACAGACAGCCAGGCCACATGGCACAGGAGTCCCACAGAGGCCTCTGATGCCCTGTCCCCACGCTGCCGCTGGGCGAGGACTGACTGGGACCAAGCTCCAGGTGGGTAGAAGGGACTTACCAAAGCTGGGGGCACGGACACCCCTCTCCTCTCGGTCCCTGATCACACTGAAGCTAGCAGCGTAGTTGGGTCTTGTCTGTGCACAGGCTTTGGGGGGCAGCTTGGCCTGAGGGGGCCGTGGTGGGGTCTGTGCTGAGGGCTGATATGGCTGCCAAGAGCTGCCAGCCTTGGGAGGGGGGCCTGTCTTGGGAATGAAGGCCCCAGGGCTAAGGCCAGCAGCTGGGGAGCCTGTGGAGAAGAGTGAGCAATGAGGACACACGGCTGGCATGGGTCGAGGTGCCGCCAGTCCAGATGGTCCCAGGCAAGGCGCTCTGGAGGCAACCGCTGCCGCAAGCACCCTGGACGTGGGCTGTCAGGCCGCGCTCTTTGCAGGGAAGCTCTTGAATCACACCCAGCTGAGCTCAGGGGTCATTCCTGTAACACTGGTGGTGCTTGGGGCAACCTCTGTGATACTGGGGATCAAACAGGGCTGACCACGCAAAGCCTTCACTCCTGTCCGACTCCCTCTCTGACTCTGGGTTTTCAGACTACAGGAAGCCACGAACTAGCCTAGAGCCCATAAGCCCAACAGTGCCCACTGCCAGCTGTGACGTGCAGACACGTGAGGGTGCATGCATGCTATGGATCCGTATAAGTGACTGTGCATACAAATGCATGCGGGTGTTTCAGGGTTATACATGTGCACTACCATGTGGGTGTGGTACGTGCCATTTCACCATGCATACACAGCACAATGACAATGCCCATTCCCAATTCCTGACACTTGGGGATCATTCTGAAAAGGATGGGCCCAGAAGGCCTGACAGGCTACACCTTACAGAAAGCTCCTGACCTACACAAGCAAACCAAGCCATCCTGCCGGCTCTCAGGAGGAACACTGCTGCAGCTTCCCATTGTCAGACCAATGCCCTCTTATGGCCCCACCAAGCAACTATTATCTACATCCACATCTACTGCTGAGGGTGTGGGTCTGTCAGACCGTGGGTCTCTGTGGCGGGTGTGGGTCTGTCACTGTGCTTTGGAAGCTTTCCTGCCGTCATTGCCTCAGCATCATTTCCAGTCCTCCCAGGAGTCTCTTCACCTCATCGCCATCTACCCTTCTGTCCTGCACCACGGTGCCCAGAGCACAGCCCTCTTGGGGCTCAGTGCCAAGTGCTCTGTCGTGCGAGGGCGTGGCGCTCCGTGGTAGCCTCCTGTGTCCATCTGCTCCATCACCGTCCTCTTTACTCATGCCCATGACATCCCCTCTCTTCGCCGCTGCTGTGCTGTGTCCCGGATTCTCAGGTGCTAGACTGTGGCAGGTGCTGTGTGCCTGTGCACCCGTGGGCATTCTGGCCCTGGAGTCCACATAGGCCTGCTGGGACAGTGCCCAGCACACATGGGCGGCACCAGAGCCAAGCCCCAATGGCCTCAGGCAGGTGGGACGGGCGCATCTAGCTGCAGAGCCGGCCTCGTTCTGGCCTCCCTGGCCCCGTCCTTCTGCACCCCTGACTCTAGCCTGAGCTGAGCTGCTGCCAGCCACCCACCGCCTCTCCATGGCGGAGTCATCAAGGGCAGCTGCCCCCCGGTTCCACAGCACCTGTGTGAAGAGCATGTGGCACCGGTGCCCATATACTCCCCATGGGTGGCTCACCTCATCCGGGACACAGCGAAGACCCGTGTCAGAGCTGAACCCTTGGGCGTGTGAGGGAGGCCGAGTGGGCGGGACAGGCAGTGAGACTCGAGAGTGGGGATGGCCCTGCTCCAGGGACACCTGCCTCCACTGTGGCCCCCCACTGCCCGCGCCCCCGCACTCCCATCAGCTCCTAGAGACACGGGCTCATCTCCTGGTCCAGGCTGCAGTCAGAGCCAGAACCAAACCCCAGTGGCAGCCCCGCCCCCTGTCCGACAACACTCATGTGAGCACTAGGCCAGGAGCTGCGAGTACCCTCTGGCAGAGCCGCCGTGTACTGCCCACTGGCGGAGCCTGACCCCGGGGCCCGTGTCCTGTGAGTGCCCACAGGCCAGTGCTCCTCACCCTGCCTCCTGGCAGGGACCTGTCAGAGCAGCACGCCAGCTGGCAGTGCACGGGGACGTGTGCCCATGCCTTGGGTGGCCACACCTCAGCTGACCAGGACGCACCCCGGGCCCAGCCCTGGGCACCCACCTGGCAGACTGGAGCTGAGGTTACCGAGGTCTGCAAATGGGTCTTGGCTCTGAGACTTGCTGCGGCTGGCCAGGGGCGTGGGGGGGCCTGGAGGGACTCCAGGGGAGAAGAAGGGACCTGGGGAGGGCAGAGACCTTCACACAGGGGCAGCCAGCAGGTGGGGCTGGCCTGGAGGTCTGGGTGGAGACCGTGGCCCCACCCGGGGCAAAGCTGGGCCATACCTTCTGTGGCCGGTGCGGGAGGGGTGGCCTCGGCCCAGGAATCCCAAGTGCCCAGCAGGTCTGGGTGGCTGGCAGAGGAAGTCATCCTGCCAGGTTCTGTGGACAGCTCCCCTGGGGGGCAGGGCCAGAGGTCAACTATGGCTCAGATGCCCATTCACAGGCCCCCCAAGTGGTGACCCAAGGTCGCTGTGGCCCTTCTCCCAGTCACCCAGAACAGGCTGCCCAAACACCGTACCAACCAAGCAGGTTGGGCAGCACAGGAAGCAGCAGCCCCCTGCGGGCCACGAGACCCCCACTCACCCAACTGCAGAAAGTCGCTGCCGGCTGGGGGAGGGGCGCTGTGTGTGGAGGGGAAGGAACTGGGTGTGGCTGTGCAGTCTGGACTTAGGAACTCACTGAAGATGCTGGGCTTGGGGCACGGCTGGGGCTCTGGGCCAGATGACAGGAGGGGGTCAAAGGGGTCGGCTGCAGAGAGGAAGGGACAAGGAGTGAGCACAGCCCCCGCACGTGCGCCCCACTCACTCGGGGCGGGGGTCCCATCCCAGCACCCCACTCACTCAGGGTGGGGGGTCCTGGCTGCAGGCAGCTCTGTGCACCCGGGGCTGGCGTGGGGCTGCCCAGGAGCAGGTCATCTGAGGAGCACTCAGGGGGAGCAGTGGGGCCCGCCAGGAGGGAGCTGAGCAGGTCGGCATTGCTGGGGGGTGCCCCTCGGGCGGTCACCGGGGGCAGCGGCCCTGCCTCAGAGTGCAGGCCCAGGAGGTCCACGCTGTCCTCCTGCAGCGTGGGCTCCGGCGGAGGGTCCAGGCCAGTCCCATCACACCCCCTTGCCGGGGGTCCAGGCACATCCTCGTCTGCTGTGTCCCTGCTCTCGGCAGAAGCAGCCGCCTCCTCCTCAGAGAGCTCATCCTCACCCTGGCCCTCCGCCCTGGCAGGCAGGCTCTCTCCGGACAAGTGACTCTCTCCCGCCTCGAAGTCCTTCTCCTCTGTAAAAGGAAGCACCAGGCTCAGTGGGCATATGGCCAGGAGGGGCAGCAGTGCCCAGCGGAGGAGCGGGGCTGTGGCACCCACCCTGCCAGTCCAGAGTGTGCAGGAAGTGGTTGGAATTGGTGCTGCCGCTGGGCGGGGAGGCGAGCTCGGGGTCCGGAGAGCCCGCCTCAGCATCGTACTGCGCAGTGGAGCCCGGCTGCCGAGGGAGCTCTGGCTTTCCTGCAGGCGAGGATGACGGTCAAGGCCGGGAACTGGCAAGCGCTGGTGAGAGCAGAGGCCACCAGACAGCAGGGCCCCTGGGCCCACAGACAGGGACACAGCACACAGCACACCTGCACGCGGCACACACGCCCCTCCCAGGGACAGAAGAAAAGCCAAAGTTCATCTTATCTGTCTCAGGACCACACCTGCCTCCCTAATCCATGCTCTTGGCTGTGGGCCTCAGGATACCACGTGGTGCCAGAGCAAACCCGGGGGGAGAGGGGAAGCGACACGTGCGTGCGAGGCACTTGCTCAACTCTCTGGGCTCCTTTGCCAGCTCAAAATTGGGGGGGGGGGGGGCTGAGGGTTTGATCCTCGCCAAGTGGTGCTCTGGGGTCCCTCCTGGTCACGTCGGGATCAAAATGAGGCCAGCCACATGCAAGACAAGAGACTTGACATCTGTACTATCTCTCGGGGTCCCCCAAAAGTGAAATCTGAAATGCAAACCAACATGAAGATAAACGGGACGCAGCAGGAAGGGTGCCACTGAGCACGACGGGAAACCCGGTGGCCACCGGCCTCCGCTCCCTGGCCCCGGGACTCCTGCCCGGAACAACGGCTCATCCAGCCCTGTGCAGGCCCGAGTCTCGGGGCCCCGGTTGGGCTCCCTGCCAGGCACGCCAGAACCCCCGTTGGTAGGCTTTTTCTGGAGGCAGGGCTCTCACCGAACTTGGTCAGAATGTCCTGCTGTTCCTCCCGGCTGGAAAACAGGATTTTGGGGTTCAGGCCCCTCATGCTGGTGCTCTCCCAAGGTGGGGCCTCCCGGCTGGGCTGGTCCCAGGGCTGCACCTCCACCTCCAGGCTCACTTGGAACAGATCCGGGTACTTCTCCTGGATGTCACAGGCGTCCAGGTCGTACCTGGGGGCACAAGTGCTCAACTCAGGATGCCAGGGATAGCGCACCCCATCCTCTGCCGCCCACAGAGCCCCAGGCTGCTCCGCAGGGTGGGGTGCCCCCTCCCATGCACACCCACATCAGGCACTTCTGCAGGTATGTCCAGGAGGGCTGATGGGGCTGTGGCACAGGGGATGGAAGACAGGCGGCTCCAACACGGGAGCACCTCACTGACCAGTACGACTGTCTGTCCCACAGTCCACCCCAGGCAGAAGCAGACGTGTCTGGGCAGGCAGGGACACCCTGGGAAGGGAGCAGGGGCTACGGGCCACCGACACGGGTCTAAGGACAGTCTTTGGTCACGGGTCTTCGGCCAGTGAAGCCAAAGAGCCAAGGGCACAGCTGTCCCTCCTGTGCCAACACAGTGCCCCGCGCTGTGGAACAGCACAGATGACCACTGCTCCAGCTCTCCCCGTGGCCACCAGGGCCCTTGGCGCTGCCGTCAGGCCGGGAAGGTGGGTGCCGCCAGTAAGCAGAAGCAGCCTGGTGGGGACACGGATCCAGTGCACACGTGATACTGAAGACGGGCAGTTATGCCCACCCCCTCTGCAGGCTTGGCCCTGGGCACTGCTGGGCCTCACACAGGTGGCCATCCTGCCTCCTCCTGGCCTGCAGGACAGCCTGTGTGGGGCCGCCTCCCCCCGCTCAGTGAGGGCACAATGGGCGACTGTGAGCCGGAGGCTGCTGCCAGGGGACCCTTGCAGGCCTAACCAGGGCTGAGGGCCACGCAGGGACCCCGCATCTCAGGGCCAAGTGAGTGAGCCTGGCAGCGCACCCGGCGCACAGCTGTGTCAACTACCTGGGCCGCAGCAAAGCACCGTGACCCCTGCCAAGGCATGACACTCTCCCGGGTCACTCCCACACGGACACCCAGTCCTGGTGCTGGCTGGGGCAGAAGGACATGCATCTTCACAAGCTGCCCCCAGCCTACACACGTGTGGTGCCCCGGCGGGGCCTCTGCCTAAAGCTCCAGCCTTCCCAGCCCCTCTGTCCACGGCTCTGCCATGGGTGCTCCATGCTCTCCGGGCCTCTTCCTGGCTGGCTCATGCCTGCAAAGAGGCTGTCTTGGGCATGAGGGTGACACCCAGCTGAACTCAAAGCCTCACACTGAAGCCAGAGCGTCAGCGACCCTGGCCTATGGAAACACCCTTTACTCCAGCCCGAAACCAAACATGGTTTTTCTTTCCCTTTCCTTTTTTTTTTAAACTAAGCTCTTTTTAAACCAGCTCCCGGAAGCGCGTGGCCGCATTTGCAGCCGCACCACATCTTATTATCTCATTTTTGCTTTAGACAACCCGGCAGGCTACTGAATGTAACTAGAGTCTGGCAGAGTCTGACAAACTCCCCGTGGTGTACTCAATATGCCAAATACCAGTAACAATTATGGGTCTCATTCTCCTAACCCTGAAAGAACCTTGAATATGGCACTTGTTAAAATCTCAGGGCTGGGATGAAGGAGACATTACTGGTACCTGCTCGAGGCAATCGACAAACAACAGGATGATCGTGATTGTGAAGCTCTTTTAAGTGATTCCTTTTTTTTTTTTTTCTTTTTGGATCACACCCGGCGATGCACAAGGGCTACTCCTGGCTCATGCACTCAGGAATTACTCCTGGCAGTGCTCGGGGGACCATAAGGGATGCTGGGAATCGAACCCTGGTCAGCTGCATGCAAGGCAAACACTCTACCCTCTGTGCTATCCCTCCAGCCCCTTAAGTGATTCTTTCTCCTCAGAAAACATCTACCTAACTGAAGAATATGAAGATGACCTATATCCCCTTATTTTGTCTTGGTTTGGCTTCTGGGTCATATCTGGTGGTGCTTCGGGGCTACCTGAATGGCGGGACTTCATGGGACCGACTGGTCCGCACAGATGTGTACAGGCTGGAGGACAGAACCTCACACTTGGGCACAGTCATCTCTGCAGGGGGTCTGTCCTGTGTGCCTGTCAGGACTCCTGACCCATGTCCTGACCCCCATTTGGGGGTCTCGAACTCAGACTCTCACTGCCCAAACAGGCTCAAAGCCTCATTTCCAGACACTTCCTCCCCATGCTTATTTTACGTTCTCAATGCTCACGATGCATGACCGCGTGAGTGGGGACACTGACGGGGAACAGACCCAGCAGGAGCAAGCTCCCACATGCACAGAGGCACTGGCAACAGCCTGGCCACGGAAGCCCCCGGTTCAGGGTGCAGGCTGCGGACGGGGCACCTCACCTTTACCTGGGCCAGTGACACGCAGCAACCCTCGTGCAAATAAGTCTCTCCCTGGAGGTTCCACAACGATGGGCTCTGGAGGGTGCTATCCTGACAATAGGATCTTCCAGAAAATCACCACAGCTAGTCAAACACTGTGCGGCTTCATTTTCTCCCAGTAAAGGTAAACATTTTAGCAGAAAACACTGCTGTCTTTGTAACTGTCTTTTTTTCTTGGCTTTTGGGGGTCACACCAGCGATGCTCAGGGGTTACTCCTGCTCTACACTCAAGAATCCCTCCTGGGGGTGCTCGGGGTGTCATATGGGATGCCAAGAGTCGAACCCTGATTGGCTGCATGCAAGGCAAACGTCCTACCCACTGTGCTATCGCTCCAGCCCCAGTGGGTGTGTGATTTCTGAGAATCTGATCCTCTGAATTACTCCAGACCCATCTGTCATTCAGCACAGACACAGAAAAGCTATGCCAATCCTGTCACACAGAGATACGTGGCGGACTCCATCCTATCACAGTCCCTCAGCACAGAGCGCTGATCATGCAGTCACTAACCCTCATCTTCTTTTGAGCTTCAGGGGACACTGGACTTCTGTCATTATGAAGTGTGGGGAATGAGCTCAGTCTTTTTACCATCCTTTCTGCCTCTCACCCATTGCTCATCCATTGCTCTCATCCATTGCTCACCAGTGAGCTGGGGCCTTTGGCCAAGCAGTGACAGCTGCGGTGAGACTGGAACCTCGTGTCTAGACTTGGGCTCTCGAGCCTTCAACCCACCACAGTGGCTCCAATGCTCCCACCAAGAGGGTCTTGAGGGACCTGACAAGCCCACGGGCCTAGACACATGTAAAGGCCAAGTGACTACAGGTACTGGCCGTGACTGTGCTGGGCTCTCATCCCAGGCCCGTGGGTGATCTCGTCTTTAGAAACCTGCTGTGAGAGTGTGTCCCCAGTATCAGGGTGCCCAGTCTGACCTGACACTCTGGAACTTGATTTGCAGCCACTTCCCCACGGGCTGGCATCGGGGCTTCCCCCCACGTAAACCCTGTTTGCTACTGGCAGAGGAGTCTAGCTGGAGACTCAGGGCTCAGTGCTCGTAGAAGGTTTTCAAGCACTGTCTCTGAACGCTCAGCACCTTTCCTGCCCACACCTGGCCTCAGCTCTTCCTCCCCTTCCCCCAAACAACTGTGCCCACAGCTGCTCAGGGCCCATGCAGTCTCCACACCCAGGGGGTTTCCCCATGCAGCCCAGGTCTCCGGACATGCCCTCTGTGGTCAGGGAGACATGCCAGCCCGTGTGCAAGTCTGCAGTTACTGTCTCGCGCTCACCTTGCTCTGTGGCCCACGCGCAGCTGGGGCGCAGGGGTTTATCTGGTGCCAGAGACGAGCCTGGGGCTCTGCAGGCCGGTGTGTGCTCAGCCCCGAGCCACTCCCCAGCCCCTATAAGGATTCTGCCATCTTTTGCAGGTGACATGAGACGGTACAGCAGCCCAGGAATGCTGAACGCAGCGTCAGAGCTGGGGCCCAGGGGGAAAGCAAAGGCCCCATGTGGCTCCTGCTTGGAATGAGCCGGGGGTGGTAGCTTCTTTGGCTGCTGCCCTGCGTGCGCCCCCCCCCCCCCCGAACCGAAGCTCCCCCAAGACCACACTGTGTCCCGGTCTTTGACCGAGAGCTGCTCCAGGTTCTGACAGTGAGACACTATCCACAAGCCTCATGGGCAGGGTGGTGATGTGCTTGTAGGAGCAAACCTGACAGGCCTCCATCAGCGGAGGCACACATCCATGACCCACCCCGAGGGAACATGCCCCACTGGAACTCCAGCAAGGAGCCTCCACTCAGGAGGACCTCCCAGAAGGCCCCCTTGGAATTCCCCCCCCCAAAAGCTCACCCTGAAAAACACACCCCCTGCACAGGAGCTCTCCCCCAGAACACCCTGCTCCCATGCACAGACTCCGAACCCCCCAATTGGAGCTCCCCCTGAGAGGAGCCCCTCCCCATGAAAGCTCCCCAAGAAGAACCCCCCCAACTGGAGCCCCCCCCCCCGCCCCGAGAGGAACCCCTCTCCATGGAAGTTTTCCTGAGAGGAACCCTCCCACGTGGGAGCTCCCCCTGAGAGGAACCCCTCCCCACGTGATCTCCCCCTGAAAAGAACCCCCCTACACAGGAGCTTCCCTTGAGAGGATCCCCTCCCTATGGAAGCTCCCCCTGAGGAACCTCCCTCACATGGGAGACTCCCCATAGGAGCTACCTGCACACAAGCCACACCATAGACATTTGTCACTCATCACATGTGTCACCCTGCACATAGTCCACTTGCCTAATGAGCCCACACACCAAGGAGTGACCTGCTCCAAACACAGTTCAATTGTCATCAAGAGGTACAGAGGAGACCCTAAGTGTCAGCTGAGGTCCTGGGTGCAGGCCCCAGTACCCCCCAGGCCCACCCTCAAATGCGAGGTGCCACAGCTACATACTTGGCGAACTTCACAATCGTTGCATTCCGAGGCACGAACCCCGTGTGGAACTGGATCTGAAACATCTTCATGGACGCCATCTGCAGTGAAGACGGACACCATGCTGAGGCCACGTGGACACGCACAGACGGCCCGAGGCACACAGACAGGGAAAAAGAGGGCAGGTGTGACCGGGGCTCACCTTGGCCTGCAGCCTGCCCCCCAGCGTGGAGCGCGCATGGTAGATGACCAGGAGAACGTCTCCCTGCACAGTGACTCCCAGAGGAATGACTGCTTTGCCGTCCTCAATTTTAAAATCCCTGCACAACATGGCCGAAGAAAGAACGCAGTGGACTTAAGATCCCTGCAAAATGGGGCTGGCCAGTACAGCGGGTAGGGCACTTTCCTGAAACACAGCTGAGCGGGGGTCAATTCCTGGCATCCCACTGGCCCACTGAGCCCCAGCAGAAGTGAACCCTCAGTCATCCCAGCGCCCCCTTCCACAAACACACCAAGCATTAAACTAATATCCCGCAACGGGAGCCACAGTCATAGGAGAGTCCCGGAACCCTCCAGCGTCCCTGTCGGCTACTTTCAGGGCTCAGGGTTCTCCAGGAAACGACAGCCAAGCTTTGGAGCTTGGGGTGGAATGAGCCCCACCCACTGGCCTCTGCTGTGGGAGAGTGTCCAGGGAGCCCAGCCTGGATGCCCGCTCACCGCATCTTGTCGTACTCCTGAGACGTGGTGGTGACTCGCTCGCCCCCCACGTAGGCCTCACAGAAGGGCCTGCAACCGCTCCGCTGCTTGCTGAAGAGCGGGACGGGTGTCATGACCACGGCCCGCACCAGGAGGGGCTTGCGATGGGGCGTGATGGGCTCTTCCGCCACCATGTCACACATGTACTCGATATACCTGGTGCAGGGCCAACACGCTGAGTCACAGGGCTGTACGAGCAACATGCTGCGACCCATGCACTTCATGCAGCCCCTCACGCTGCACAATCCTGTCCCCAGCCCCTCCCATCACACCCACGCTGTCCCGGCCACAGTGGCACACCGCGTCTCTAGGCCAGAGCGATTTAAAGGCCTGTTTGGGCCCAGCTGCGCCCGAAGTTGATGCTACAAGGCCGGTTAGCTCCACACACCCGCTGCCGACTTCCTCACGGACCAGGAGACTTAAGAGCAAAGAAGTACTGAGAAGGTGCTCCCTGGCCAGAGAGCATCCCAGAGCATCCCAGGGTTTCTGCTTATCCTCACATGTGTACACACGCTCTGGGGTGCCCCCCATGTGCACACGTGTCCTGGGGCTCTCCCCGTGTGCAGATGTGTTCCTCGGCTCTCTCCCAGCATGTACCCACGGTCTAATGCCTGGCGCTCTCAGGGACGCTCGCTGCTCTGTGGCCCTGTGGTCTCCTCTCCGTCTCCTCCCTGACGCTGACTACAGTGCTTGAGAGGCATGGTGCATTGTGGCTGTGCTGGAGACACCCCAGCTCTCGGCTGACAGGATGGGTGGGTGCAGGGCTACAGCTCTGGTTCCCAAGGGCCAGGGGCCGCAGCAGAGTCCTAGACCAGTGCCCTGTGAACTGGGCCGAGTAGACGCTGGGACAGCACACGCAGAGGACAGGAGTAACCACGGCATTTGGGGGTCCAGCCTGTCTTCTAGTTCCTACTGGATGCACTGTACCTTTTGTGTGACGGCCAAATGCCCGGCGGGCAGCGCTTCATGCTGAACATGTACACGGCGGCCTCCGCTGTGCTGAAGAGACGGCAGAAGCACAGGAAGGCGCAGACGGCCACGGCGGAGGCGGCCCTTCCGTCCTAGGACACAGAGGGGCTCACACACCGCTCATGGAGGTGCGCCCGCCAAGCGACAGAACCCTCCCGAAGCGCCTCTGCCCCTCGGCGCTCACACAGCGGGCCAGACGCCAGACACTCGTTCCTGCAGGAGGCCCGGGACCACGGGGACGCAGGGCTCGCATGCGGCACTCACCACACAGTGCACCACGCAGATGTTCTTGGGGTCCTGCCGCAGCCACGCATGCATGTCCCTGCAGACGCTGTACAGGCTGTGCAGCTGCGGGGCCCGCCGCGCGGCCCAGCCACACTCAGACACCTGCGGGGACGGGGCTGTTAGCCGGGGCTCCCGGGGGTGTCCGCCCAGTCCTGCTGCCACAGCAGCAGTGAATGGGCTACAGTGCCTCCGGGAGGGACAGGCGGAGAGGGACGACGGTCAGCATATGGTAAACGTAAAGGTAAAGGCCCTCCCGTAGTTCATCGATTTGCTCGAGGGGGCCCAGTAACGTCTCCATTGGAGACTATGTTGTTACTGTATTTGGCATATCGAATACAGCACGGGGAGCTTGCCAGGCTCTGCCGTGTGGGCGAGATACTCTCGGTAGCTTGCTGGGCTCTCCGAGAGGGGCGGAGGAATCGAACTCGGGTCGGCCATGTTGGCTGCGTGCAAGGCAAACACCCTACCGCTGTGCTAACGCAGCTGTCAACAAAACGTGAGGCTACTCTTCCCGGTCTCATTGGGCATCCCCGGGAATGGCCCACTCCTGACCTCCACCTACTGCGCCTGGGCCATGCCCCCGTGCCCCCATGCCTGGGAGCACACACCTACCTGGGCACAAGTCAGGAACCTGCTGGCCCAGGCGGCCAGGAGTGTGTGTGGGAGGGGGGAGCAGGGACTGGTCGAGCCAGCACAGGACACGCACCCGGTTGTGGAACTTGGAGGGCCGGTACGTCCTGGAGGACAGGTTGAAGACGGTGTAGTGACCGGCATGCTTGGTGTCCAGGAACAAGCGCACGTCCTCGATGTGGTTCTTGATGGCTGACTCCACGCCTTCCGCTGGGAATGACATCACTGGAAGGGGACAGTCCCGTCAGGCGGGTAGGTGGCTCCTGGCTGCAGGCCCTCCTGGCACCTAGACTTTCCTCTCCTGTGGGCTTATCACTAGGGGGAGCCACACGCCGTGGTGCTCCAGGGAACCTGTTGGTGGGACTGAATCAGCTCTTGCACACAAGTACCACGGGAGCCCTTTGCGGCCACGCCTGGCATGGCATCTCTATCTGATGGAGCCAAATACATCACTCACTCCCCTGGCCAACTCTTATTCCGGAGTGTTCCAGAACAGAAACAGGCGCACTGTGGGAGAGGGGCCCAGGAGAAGCCCTGCAGAGCTGCCAGAAAGTGAGGGGCCCTTCTGATGGCAGTGGGGCGCGCGACCTACCAGCAATCCTGGATGTGATGTACGACAGGTCCAGGTCTCCCTTTGCATAGCTGCAATGAAGAGAGGCGCCCGGTCACTCTGGACACCTGACCTCTGCACCAGCAGCCCTGGACACTTCAGGCACTCACTGACTCACACTCTGGGGACAGGCCCAGAGCCTGGCCACGGTCATAAAAATTTATGCAGAAAAATATTTTTCTTTGTGCTTAACCCTTATTCTTTCTGGTTTTTATTTGGGGCCCGGGCTGGAGCAATACCACAGTGGGTAGGGAGTTTGCCTTGCACGCAGCCAACATGGCCAACCCGAGTTCGATTCCTCCAGCCCTCTCGGAGAGCCCGGCAAGCTACCAAGAGTATCTCGCCCGCACGGCAGAGCCTGGCAAGCTAACCGTGATGTACTCGATATGCCAAACACAATAACAACAAAGTCTCACAATGGAGACGTTACTGGGCCCACTTGAGCAAATCGATGAACAACGGGAGGACGGTGACAGTGATTTGGGGCCCACACCCGGCGGTCAAGGCCCAGTCCTAGCTCTGTGCTCCAGAATCACTCCTGGTGGGGTCAGGGCCACATGGGGTGCTGGGGATTGAACCCAGGTTGACCGCATGGAAGCCAAGTGCCCCTCTGCTGCACTACTATTCTGGCCCTGTTTAACCTTTTCTTTCATCTTTACCCTAAAATCCAAAACCCCTGTTTCTCTTAGGAACCACCTGTGCTTCACCAGCTGAGCTGCACTCTGCAGTGCTCAGGGCTGACTTCTGGCTCTACGCTCAGGGACCACACGGGGATCAAAGCCAGGCCGGCCACAACTGGGACTCCAGCCCCAGGCCCTCTCACAGGGTACGCAGCAGTGGCCGGTGGCACTCCTGTCCCTCCTCACGCAGTGCCTGGGGGGTCAGGGCAGTCTGTGGGCGAGCACAGGCCTCTCTGAGGTGCTGGAGAGTTGTGCCCAGGCCTGTCTAGTGGGCTACCAGGCGGCTCTTCCTCCCACCTCTGTGCCAAGTCCAGGAGCCCATGGGGCTACCCAGCCCAGCCGGAACCCTTGGCAGGTCAGCCCGGGCCCTGAAGACCCCCCACACCCGCGAGCTTCCCGTCAGCCCCGGGGGTACAAGCAGCCTCCTCCCCTAGTGCCCCACCCTGACACCCTTTCAGAGGATGGACCAGGCAGGGAGTGGGCACACAGGGCCTCGGGGAAGCTGCATGTGCCCACTGTGTCAGCTGTTTGACTTCCTTGATGGAGGCGGCACAGCAGCCTGCCTCGGTGGGGCTTGCCCCAGGTGGCCATCTGGGCTGCCAGGTGAGCTCCCGAGCCCATAGTACGCAGCCACAGCACCACCCAGGGGCCAGAAAATGGGGCCAGCACGGAGGACATGGCCTTCAGGAGGGGTAGTCACGTGCCGATGACAGGTGCCCCAGCAGACCTGTCCGTGCTCTGCCTGGGTCCCCTGAAACCCTTCTTGCCAGAGCAGAGCAAGAGCTAGAGCAGAAGTGCACAGGACCCCGCACTCCTGAAGCCTGTCAAGGCGAGGCAGCGCGAGGACACAGCACAGGCCCTGCCCACAGGCCCCGAGCCTCAGGCCAACGCCGCAGTTTCTCAGAGCACAATGGACAAGGGAAGCAGCAGTCCCCGGCACGAGGAGTGAAGCTCACGGCCTGTGCCCACACACTCCAGTGAGCTCACGGCCCGCGTTGGCCCTCGTCCACACACACTCCAGCAAGCTCACAGTACACACGCACAAAGTCCGTGTAAACACGGCTGCACACACACACGTGCGCGCGCCTCCCAGACACGAGAGGAGCTCGGCGCCCAGGCCCTTGATGGCTGCAGAAGTGCAGGATCCGCGCGAGTCCTGCCCAGCAGAGGGACCCTGAGGGGGTGTTCCCCGAACACCCAGACCCTCTCGGCTCAAGGCGACCCCACTCACTTGGCCACAGACTGGATGACCTTGGAGGAGGTATCCTTGATGTTGGTGAAGAGGCGCTCCGTCCCGCCCCGCAGGATGTCCAGGAGTCCGCCGTAAGGCTGCTCATACTCAGCCACCACCAGGCCTGCGGCAGAGAAGACCCCGAGGGTGTTGGTCGCCAGCGTCCTCCCCACCTGTGCCGCAGGCCCTGGCCAGACCCCACCCTCAGGACGCTCTCCAGGTACCACCACGGTCTGCGCTGCCCATGCCCGGGTGGGGGGGGGGCAGGGCAGGGCAGGGCAAGGACAGGTGAGCAGAGGCGGCGGGGCGCACACAGCACGACTCAGGCCTCAGCAGCAGTCCTGCGACCATCTCCATCCCTCCCTCCCTCAGGCGGGGACCCGCCCGCACTCCGTCCCCCAGGCACATGGCCAGACTGACCCCCACTGTAGCCACTGCCAGGGGCACCCCCGGGCACAGCAGCATTTCCGAAGCCTCCGTTCTGCTCCAGGAGCTGCAAGGACAGACACAGGGGAACCATCAGGCACCCCAGGGCAGCTCCAGCACTCCTCAGTGAATCCCCCGGCACCCAACACTGGCCCCTAAAGAGCCCCACCGACCTACGCCCGGGGTGCGAGCCCCGCCAGAGGCTTGCCCTGCCCACCTCGGTGACTGGGGACCGGGGGTTGACATCACGGGCAGCCGCGATGTCCTGCAGCTGGTTCACCAGCTCGGTGATGGAGAGCCGCTCCTCGGGGTTGACCCGCAGTGTGGCGCCTGTGGCAGAGGCAGCAGGTCACCCCCCGCCACAGCCACCGTAGAGGCCCAGGCCCCAAAGCAGGCGAGGGTGGCGGCACAGCCGCTGCCCACGCCCGACTCACGGATGAGGCTGTGGAAGACAGTGTAGCGGGTGTCGTCCGCGGGGATGGAGAACTTCCCGTTCACAATGCGCAGCCGGGCCCCGTCCTCGAAGGGGTGCTGCCCAAAGCACAGCAGGTACAAGATGCAGCCCAGGGCCTGCGGGCGGGGCGAGGTGAGGCCAGGCTTGGTGGAGGGACACGAGTCAGAGCTGTGCCACAGGGGGGCAAGGCCAAGCGGTCAGCTCACAGGGTCCCTGCCCCGCCCCCACCACTCCTAGCTCACGAGACACCAGTGCCCACGGGGTCACAGAGGTGAACGGGCGCCATCTCCCACTTTCAGACCCAACCATCCATGCCGAGGGAAGTCCTGCATTCCAGCCCCCAGGTTCTGTCAGGCCACCTCGGGCCAGCAGCCTTTGGTCAAGACAGCAGGAAGCCAGGAGGAGAAACCACACCCCTCCAAGGCCCAGGGACAAGAGGGACAGGCGGTCATCGAAGCAGAAGTCCAAGAACCAGAGACTCAGCCAGAAGACAGAGTCCTCTGCACAGGGCGTGTGCGCGTGCCACCCCAGCCCCACCCTGAGTGACGGCACAGCCAGCACTCGGAGACGCTGAGGGCAGAGCTGAGGTCCAACTCAGAAACACACCTGCACCCCTGTGCACATGCATGTAGGCGCGTGACCCTGTGCACCCACACGTCTGCATGCACCTTTGCGTCTGTAGGGTGCTGGGACTGCGTGTATGAGGACACCACACCCTATGGCCGCCTCCCGGCTCTGAGGATACACCCACCACAGGGAGCTCGTTTCAAACTGCCCAGGAGCGGGGCCGGAGCAATAGCACAGTGCGGAGGGCGTTTGCCTTGCACACGGCCGACCCGGGTTCGATTCCCAGCATCCCATATGGTCCCCCAAGCCCCACCAGGGGTAATTCCTGAGTGCAGAGCCAGGAGGAACCCTTGTACCTCACGGGGAGTGACCCAAAAAGCAAAACAATAAAAAATAAAACAAACAAACAAAAAACCCCAAACTGCCCAGGAGCCCAAGGTGGGCAGGGAGTGGGAGTGCCGGTGGCCGGGCCCTGCGGCCATCAGGGTGGTCAGTGCCTACGGGCAGAATAGCCTCCTGGAGGATGCTGCGCCAAGTTCAGGGCCGTTTCCCCTTGGTCTGAATGACAGGGTGAGCTGTGGCCACAGCAGGGAGAGCGTCAGCCTCTCCCAGCAGGGGCCCCGCCTTACCCAGATGTCCTGCTTCTCGCAGATGGGGAAGTTGGAGTACAAGTCCACGATTTCAGGCGTCCTGTACATGGGAGTTGTGTTCCTGGTGATCTGGGCAAAGGTCAGATGAGAACGGCACATTCAGGACAGCCAAGGCTCTCACGCTTGGGGAGACGCCCCCCCCCACGGCACCCACAGCCCGGCACCACCCGTGCCCACTTCTGCCAAGGCCACCCCACGCAGGGCCATGGCATCGGCTGGGGTGGCGTGTCCCTCTGCTTCCTGTCAGGCTCAGTGCAGGCCGTCCCCGCCAACAGAGTAAAGGGACACCTCTCCACGTTCTGGAGGTCAGAGCAGCAAAGTCCCTTTGCCTGCGGGTTGGTTCTGTACCGAAGCTGGAGACAGTTAGTAGGGCAGGAGGCTGTGGGCGGTCTGGGGCAGGTGTGAGCACCTCTGACACGCCAAGAGCACGGAGCAGGGGCAGGGTAAGAGGAGTAAGCCCTCAACGGGAGTGCGCCAGGCCCAGCCCCTCTCACTGGTTGCCTGCGCCTGGTGCCTATTGGGAGCACCGTGGCAGGACCACAGAAGCAACCCCCAGAACAGACCTGCCTGCAACCCCCGGGAAATAGGGAGCCAGGGACAGACGCGACCCTGTGAACCCCCTCCAGCAACACACAGCTGCCATAAGCAGGGACGCACCCATCCCTGGGGCGGCGAGGCCAGATGCCAGAGGTCCAGAGAAGGCGAGCGGGGGGAGGCGCGCAGGACAGACTGCTGTCTGCTTGTTTCTGCGCCCACAGGGACCAAGCTGGAGCTAATGACAGGAAGTGAGAAGCACGTGTGTGAGACGGAAGCGATGTGCGAGTGTGAGAGACAGGAGCGAGGAGAGTGTGAGAAACAAGAGTGTGTGAGACGGGAGTGCGTAGAGGTGGCGGAAGAATGTGCAAGAGAAGGAGGAATATGTGTCAGACACGAGGAGTGTGCATGTGTGATAGAAGAAGCACGTGCGAGAGAGGAGCGAGGAGTGTGTGTAAGAGACGGAGTGAGGGAAGAGTGTGTGAGCGACAGGAGTGATGAGTCTGGGACGGACGGGAGGAACGGAGTGTGTGTGTGTCAGGAGTGAGACGTGTGCCAGAGGAGGGAGAAGGGACCATATGAGACGGGAGAGCGTGTAAGAGGCAGGGGCGAGCACGTGCGAGTCAGGAGGGAGCGTGTGTGAGCTGGAAGAACGCATGAGACAGGAGCGGGCATGTGAGAGATGGAAGGAGCGCGTGTGAGGGACAGGGTGCACACACGTGTGAGGGCAGTGAGGAGAGTGAGCTGAGGAAAGTGAGGGTGAGGCGGGAGGGGAGTTTTTGCTGTGGGTCAGGGACGGGCTTAGCCCCCGCTCCTCTGAGGACAGCAGGGATGGGGCTGGGGGAAGGCAGGCCAGGCCTAGGGCGCCAGCTCTGTTCTTTCAGTACAGGAGATCTCAAGTGTCCGAGAGTCCGAGACAGACAGAAGCAAAGATGGCCCCGTGGCTCAGCGAGGCCCACCCCAGAGGACAAAGCAGAGAGAGTAGGAGCAGCAGCCCCGGCGTGGGCAGACCAGCACAGGCCTTCTCACACACACAGGCCGGGCCCGTCTCCGGGTAGCCCTGCCATGCCCATCACTTCTGCTGCTCCAGCGTGGACAGGGCCCTCCGGGGCTCTTCCTAAGAGCCTGCCTGGAGGACAGCCATGAGGTGTCACGAGGCCCCTGAGCCACCACCCTCTGCTGCGAAGACCCTGACCTGTGCCCCACCCACGGGCCCCGGCCGCCTGCCCGCGCTCACCTCCTCTTCCACCAGGGCTCGCTTCTGGGCGCTCCAGCTGTAGTCCGGATAGTGGGACACGGTGGTGGCACTGCCGAAGTCACACAGCTTGACAGTCCCCTGGCTGCTGAGCAGAAGGTTTTCGACCTGCAGAGGGCAGTCCTGAGTGGCCAGCAGGTGCTGGTGGCACTTGGCTGGGGCTATGCCCAGGCTGCCAGGGGCCAACCCGTGTCTCCTGAGGGCAGGAGACAGAGAGGCAGAGGCAGAAAGACAGCCAGGTACAGCCTGGGGCCATCGGAGGGGGCAGGCGCAAGAGAACCCAGAGATTCTGTGCGTGGAGCCAGGCGGACCGGCCACGCTTCCACAGGGGTAAATAAGGAAGCAGGGCATGCGCCAGCTACTCTGGCAGTCCCGGGTGTGTCAGCGACCCGGAAGCCAGTCGCCGCGGCTGCCAGCACAAACGCCCTGGACTGGGATCTCACGACACACAGGCCACCAAGCAGCTTTTGGGGGAGGCTCCTGCTCGGAACCCTGAGGCCATTCCAACCATGACCCCGCACACCTGGGGCGTAGCACAGCAGCAGGACGGCGAGGGGGGGGGAACCCGGGGACGAGGAGCCCCTGTCCCTGGGAGGGGGCAGCCCGGCCCTAAGCATGGCCAGAGGCCCTGCCCCGCCGGGATGGCGGACGTCTGACAGGGCTTGGAGCGCAACTGAGCCCCCTTGCTGACACGTCACCTCCTGGGCCTTCGGCAGCCTCTCCACAAGTGCCTGTGCCCAGCCCCCCACCCAGGACACACACAGCAGAGCCCGAGGGACACCTCAGGGGCCCAGCAGGGGCAGAGCCACAGCCACGACGCATGGGAGATGGCAAAAGTCTCAGTCGAGCATGAGTACGACTGCCAGAGTGGCTGGGGTACCGACAGGTGCTGGAGTCAGGGTCACAGGGTCCCTAACAGCACCCACCCCAGCGTCGGGGTCGGCAGAGCCCAGCCTGGCTCTCTGGCACCACGGGGAGGGGCCGCAGTCCCCCGTCCAGCTGGAAGGTCCTATCAGACACCACCGGCAGTGGCGGCAGGCAAGGGCGCCCAAGACTGGGGACAGGGGCTGGAGTCGGGCTTCTTGGGAGCACGGGACAGAGACCCCCGCCATGAGCCAGGGCAAGCACCAGGAACTCTCCAGTCTGCTCCAGAGGGAGGCGGTTCGGTACTGAGTGAGCCCCAGGCCCAACCCCCACCCAGCACTGCTGGGAGTGAGCTGGAAACCAGCAAACGGCAAACACAGCCCGGGCACAGGGCAGGCGAGTGGGGGCTGAGGGGCAGGGCTGGTGAGCACCTTTAGGTCCCGGTGGATGATGGGGGGCTTCTGCTTGTGCATGTGCAGCACAGCCCGGCAAGTCTGGTAGAAGATCTTCAGAACCGTGTCGCACGAGAGTGGACCCTTGCACTCAACCTTCTTGAGAAATTCCACCAGCTGCCCTGAAAGAGACCACCAGTGTCCCGTCAGCACACAGGAGACGGGGCACTGCCGTCTCTGCAGAGGAACAGAAATAACAAAGCTGCTGAAGGTGGCGACTTGCTGCCAAGGCCAGAGCAGTGCGGCGGGGGTACGCGCGAGGACCAGCCAGAGCCCCTGCAAGCGGGCACAGTGCAGGGGTCTAGTCTGGGCACAGGTGGGGACGGGGGGGGGGGGGTGGGCACAGCCGGGGGGGACACAGCACAGGAGGGGGGTAGGGACACACACACACACAGAGCTCAGGGAGACTCAACACCCTGTGTCCTTAGGGACAGACACCCACAAAGGGAGGGTGAGGCTACATTCAAGGCCCTCAGGGCCCCTCCCAGGTGCCCAGTTGCAGGCCAAGGTCCAGCTGGGCCCCAGTCCCGCCCATCGAGCAGCACAACCGCAGCGCCCATCACCGCATAGGGGCTACTGGCAGGTCCAGAAAGAGGCCCCAGCCCCCACTGCCCCCGGCAGTAAAGCAGCACCAGCCAGTCCCTCCCTGGACGCCCACAAGGGTGACCGCCCCGAGTCCACTGGGCAGGGCCACCCAGAGACACCAAGAACTATGGGCTGGGCCATGTGGAGGCCTGCGGGACCCTCGCAGCCCCCGCTGCCAGGGCACTGACCACCCTCCCAGGCCGCCCCTGGCTCCCGGCACACACCCCACCCCAGCCGGCAGAGGCCCCCACACATCAGCCCTTGGCACAGAGGAACCTGGCGTGGTCTGAGAACTGAGCGTCTGGGTCAGCCGCAGCTGGCCTGTATGCAGACCCCGAGGCCCTGCCAGCTCAGCAAGGGCCGCTCCTGGCCAAGGGCACGTCCCACCAACTGGACTGGGAAGAGGACTGGACATACCCCAGGGTACCTCTGCCTCGAGGACGAAATCAGAGGCAGAGACCATCACGCACCTCCCTGCTGTTTTTACGGGTGACGGATGGAGGGGAAGAGAGAAGAGAGAGAGAAGGCAGGAGGGAGAGGAAGAGGAAGGAAAGGAAGAGTGACAGGAGAAGAGACTGAGAGGAGGAGGAGGAAGGAGAGGAAGAAGGCGAAGGGGGGAGGGGGAAGAGGAGAGAAGAGGAGGGAGGGGGAGAAGAGGAGGAAAGGGCAAGGAGGGAGGGCAGGAGGGGGGGAGGAGCCACCTTTGCAGAGCTCTGTGAGCAGCAGGAACTCGGCCTGCCCGGTGTCGGACTCCTCCTTCCCGATGGAGGCAGCTGAGCAGAACTGCACGATGTTGGGGTGCCCGGACAGCTTTTTCTGTGGGCACCTTGTTAAAGGACAACGCGAGAGTCTACACAGAGACACAAGCAGGGCACGCCGGGGGCAGCAGGCCTGGCACTGCCAGCCTCCCTGCACCCCGAGCACAGCTTAGCCAGGGCCGCATCCAGGCACCAGGACAGCGGGCAGCACAAGTGACCTGCGTGCGGCCGGGAGGAGGGAGGAATCCACAGACTGAGCCTGCCAGTACCTGCTGGACTCGGGCGGCCAGCAGGAGCACTGCAGACAGAGCGTTGAGAGAGAAGAGAACAGAGTCGGACAGTGGTCAGAGGCAAGACCCCACACGCCAGGGAGCAACTTGAGGAGGTGGGGACCACGGAGGGCAGCCCGTGGGGGCAGGGCGGGACGGGTGCGAGGGCTAGAGGCAGGGCACAGAGGCCTCGCTGGGGGAAGGCAATGTGTGTCCACCCCCAGGGCACCGGCCGCCTCCCATCCTCCTCACTGCCCTGAGAAAAGGATACCATGAAACAGACTTCCTGGATGATGGCTCTATTCTTCTCTTCCTCGTTGGACAGCAGCCTCTAAATCGGGGATAGACGGGATCAGGCAGGCTGCCCGGACAGACCCAAACATGTGAAGCAGGCCTGCACCTCAGGGCAGAGACAGCCTCCCCCCGCCAGCCCCGGGAGGCAGGAGCCCTGGGCCAAGGCACCGCGGGACGCCTCACCTTCAGCGCGTACTCCCTGCCGCTGCCCAGGTCCTGAGCTTCATACACAAAGGCAAAGCCGCCTGGAAGGAGACGTGCAGTTACAGGCTAGGGCAGGGCGAGCGCGAGCCTGGAGACGGGTCTTCCCACCGGGACCCGCCCCGGTGCCACGGGCCAAGCTGTGGGCTCCACAGAATGGGCATGACGGTGGACCCTCTCAGAGCGGGCCGTGCAACCCAACACTGGCCCCGAGCACCTTCACGCAGGCTATGCCGCGCTGAGCACAGCTTCCTGCGCCAAGGACCAACATCAGCAGCTGCTGCCCATAAAGCACCGCCAGGCTCAGACAGGAGCAGGCCTGTTAAAACCACTCTGGAGCTGACCACAGCCCACGTCTCCGCGACGTCCACACTCGCTGGCCGCCGAGACCACGGGGGAGACGAGGGGCAGAGCAGTCTGCACAAGAAACACCCCCATCCCATTCCCAGTCGGGCTAGAGGTGTGAGGTCAGGTGACAGGCACCACAGAGCCTTGGGCCCACCTGGCTGCCGAGTGGCCCCAGGGACGTGGCCCGCAGGAGCAGCCCCCCCATGCCTCAACATGGGCAGGTCACCAAGAAACCCAGAAACTCCTGGGTGTTAAAAAAATGCAGATGGCCCAAGCCACAGGGCTGGCAGCAAACAGGAGGGAAGGTCCCTCCGAACAGAGAAGCAACGCGGCAGCCGTGGTGGGTGGGAGGCCCCGGGCCCTGCAGCAGCTGGCGAGAGCCCAGAGACCGAGCCGACACCCAGGCAGGGGACAGGCTGCCTCTCCTCGCCCACCTGCACACGCCACTCAGGGGCAGAGAGCCGCCTGCAGCCCTTTCCCCTCCACCGAAGCACGGCCAGGCTCACAGGGTCCGTGAGGATGACAGGGCACGGTCACAGGCACTCAGGACATGGGCCCAGGGACAAGAGCCTCTCGGGGAAGGTGAAGAACATTGAGCTGGAGGCGCTGGCCTGGGGCCCCACCTGGGCTTCAGCCTTTCACTGCATCACCCTGAATGCTGCTTAGGGTCCCCGGCCAGCAGCAGGGGCAGGTCCCTCTCAGACTGGGTCAGTGACGGGGACTTGGTCCTACTGGCACCGAGCAGGCATGATCCGGGTAGCTCTGAACAAGCCAAGAAGGATGTGGCGGGCAAGGGCGAGGGGAGCTGAGCGGTGCCTGGGCAAGAGAGTCACTAGGCTGGAGGGTGTCCCCATGCGCAGGCCCGCGGGGGGGCTGCGAGGTCTCGGAGGGACACAGGCACTGCGGAGGGAAGCCGGTCGGCCCAGGGCGGGCAGAACCCGGGTCTGCCCCCCACACACACACCCTCGGGCAGCAGGGCAGGGCACGGGCACCGTGATGCCGGGACCCCGAGAGCCGGGCCGCGCAGCCCGACGCCGAGACCCTCCGAGAGCGGGCCGTGCACCCTGACATCGAGACCCCGAGACCGGGGTCGTGCACCCCGACGCGGGGACCCCCGAGAGCAGGGCCGTGCACCCTGACGCCGGGACCCCGAGAGCCGGGCTGCGCACACTGACGCCGGAACACCCTCCCCCATGAGACCGGGGCCGCGCACCCGACGCGGGGACCGCCCCCCCCCCCCGAGCCAGGTGGTGCACCCGCGGCCCGCGCGCTCACCCTCGGCCAGCACCCGCCGCACCCGCAGCCGCAGCTCGCCCAGTTCCACCGTCTGGCCCACGAAGTCGGTGTGGTCGCGGCCCGCGGCGCCGCCCAGCGCGCCCGGGCCCGCCAGGAAGTCGAGCGCCGATTGTAGCAGGGACATGGCGGCGCGGCGGCGCCGAGCGGCCGGGCTCGGGGTCCCGCTGCGTCCGGGTCCGCTCAGCAACCGCCGGCCCCGAGCCGCCCCATCTTCCGCCCCGACCCTGACGTCGCGCGGGGGCCGCGCTTCCGCCGCTCCTGACGCGCGCGCATGCGCGGGGCGCGGCCCGTGACGCGCTTCCGGCGCCTCCCGGCACCCCGGCCCCGAGCTGCACCCGCTTCCGCCCCGACCCTGGCGTCGCGTGGGTTGTCCTTCCGCCGCGCCGGGCGCGCGCGAGTGACGTGCCGCGGCGCCGTGCCCCGCCCCGGATGTCCCGCTCCCGCGCCGCAGCCTGCGGAGCGGACTGGCGCGGCGGCTACCCGGGGAGCCGCCGGGGCCGCCGAGCGGGTCTTCCCCTCGTGGGCGGCGTCCAGTGCTCGGCCGTGCCCCGGAGCCGCCCCAGGTAAGACGGCCGCTCCCGGGCACACCTGCCTCGACCACACCGCAGGCGGCCCGGGCATTGCCCGCCCGATGGCCGGTAAACCGCGGCCCTCCTGCAGACCCCAGCCAAGGAGGGGCGGGCAGCGGAGTCGGGGCTCCCGAGAGGCAGGCAGCCGTGCCCCCAGGACAAGGGCGGGAGGAAGGAGTAGTCGGAGGCCCTCGCTGCCTGGGGATTTCTGGGTGTCCCCAGGTGGCACTCTGCGCTGCAGGAAGCCAGCGGCCCTGCGTGGCTTGGGGAACAGCCTGTAGCTGCCTAGCAGTTTGCAGCCGAGCGAAGATTGCAATTCAGGTTCTGGCACAACGTACCGCCCAGAACTAGTTAAAGCGTTTCCGGGACTAGGGAGATGCTTTGCAAGAGCCGGCACTTCAGTGCAAGCCCTGGCACCACATGGTGCCCAAGCCCACCCCCCCCTCGTGCGGCTCTGGAGGCCCCCAGTGCTACACGCTTGTGTCTTGGCATTGAGCTCTACAGCCGGCCTGGCTGAGTACAAGGATGTGCAGGACTTCCTAGAAATTAAGAACCTTTGAGACACTAATGATCTTCAGTGGTAGGACGGAGGTACACGACAGAGAAGTGGGCTTGATAAGGTGTTTGCTCAGATCCACCTGTCACCTAAGTCCCGGTCTAGTTACCATCCCAGCAGACTTTTCTGTAACAGGTCGGGCGAGAGACCACATCGGGCGTGCACTTGCCTTGCAGGCAGCCACCTTCTCTCACCTCCTGATCTCCAGGGTGCCTCACCCTGCAGCAGGCTCCCTCCCTGCAGAACAGCTGCATAGAAACCTGCTGGGGCGAGTTGATGTGCCCCTTAGGACACAGAACCTAAGACCTTGTCCTCAAACCACTCAGCACCTGCTGTGTGTGGTGGGCCTCAGCAGCTAGACCCCCTGTCAGACCCCCTGTCAGGGCCTAGGAGATGGCCCGGTCTCTTCCTGGATGGCCCCATGGCTGGACCTGACTCGTCCTCCCAGACCCATCTGCCCCACACAAGAGCCCCAGAGATGCACAGGACCAGAAGGGGCCAGCACAGCATCTGGGCTGGCCAGCAGACTTCCAGGACCTTCCCGGGGGATACAGGTGTCACTGTGTGTTCTGTCAAGGGGACTGTGGAGGCTTGACTGTTGGCAGCGGGGAAACGGGAGGGTCCTGGACCATACCACGCTCAGACCTGTGCTTCCTCCCAGGTCCTGCCATGTCCACCCCTCTGCAACCAGAGCAGGGAGACCTGCCCACGGATGGGAAGGATGAAGATCCTGTCGAGGGCACACAGCACTCCCAGCGCATGCTCAGCTTCAGTGACGCCCTGCTGTCCATCATCGCCACTGTGATGGTCTGTGGGCCCCTCCCAGCTGGGGGTGGGGTGACCTTCAGCACGGTGGGAACCCCACTTGTGTCTGAGGCTCAGCCCCCCACGGGAGAATGTTATCAGTTCCCTTTGTGTTTCTGTCTAGATCCTGCCGGTGACCCACACGGAGATCTCCCCAGAACAGGTATTTTGGGGTCAGCAGGTAGGCAGGACAACGAAAGACTCTAGGGTGTCGGCCCTCCAGCTCTGAGGTGCAGGGCGGGCCTGGCCAGACACAGTTGCCAGGCACGTGGCTACCCCTAGCAACACCTGTGAGCCGCAAGGCTGGGTACTCTCAGTCCCAGGAGGCCCTGGTCTCTAACCTCATCGTGTCTGCTCTGTCACCCAGGCCACGCACAGACACACATTCCAGGTTAGCCATCTCTTGGAGCAGATCAGCTGGCGCCTGGCTCACATGCCAACACAGAGCTCCAGGGCTCCTGTCACCAGGTCAAACACTCACAGACAGACACACACACACATGGGTTCCATGCAGACTCCTTCCCAGCTCGGCCCCTGTTTTACTAGTGCTCTGCTGGGTGCACGCCTCCATTCCCTGTGCAGCCCCACAGCCCAGCACCCCCCAACACATGTCCCGTGTGTGCAGGACAGGACAGGAGCAGGTGGAGGCAGGTCCTGGAGGCTGGCCATAATGGTCCTCACCACAGCACCAGCCCAGCACTGCCAGCGCTAGCCTCTGTCCCCACTGCTCCAAGGGCCACTGCTCTGCCTCAGAAGCAGTTTCAGACAAAAGGAGTGTTCCAGAACGGAAACACTTGCTGGCAGAGGTGCCCCGAGGGGCCTTAGGACTAGGGGAACCCCTGAGGAGGCTATGCAGGGACAGCGGAACCTACCCGACACAGGTCCCAGGAGCCCCGGGAGCTGGCTCCTGCCGGATGCATGGCTACATCTGTTGCTGCTTTGCTATTTAGGAGTTCGACAAGGGGATCCAGAAACTTCTAGCAACCAGGATAGCTGTGTACCTGATGACTTTTCTCATTGTCACCGTGGCCTGGGCTGCGCACACAAGGTCAGATCTGTGTGTGTGCGCGCGCACCCCTCTCTCCCCAGTTCTGTTCTGAGAGGCCCAGCGTGCGCCCCCGTGTGCTCAGGAGGCCCCGGGCAGCAGGAGCTGGTGCTGGCCTGGGTTCCCTAGGCCCTGCAGGCGACTGCGGCTGCGGCTGCCTTGTCTCTGGACACAGGCGACTTGCCCTGGGGCTAGGGAAGGCCTAGATGGGCCCCTGCCAGCCCACTCGGAGCTTCTTGTCAGGATGGTTGCTTGAGACCCCACAGCCAGGCAGACCAGCGGTGCTGAGCTTCGTAGGCCTGGGACCCTGGGATGGGTGCCTGGCCTCCCTGACCCCACAGGTCTGTGCCTGGCAGGCTCTGAGTCCTGCAGGCCTCACACACCAGCATAGTGCAGGCCAGTGCCCAGGGTACCTGGGACTGAACCTGCGCCCCTGGGGTCCTGCCTGCTTGCTGCGCCTGGTCTCCATCTCGTCACGCTGACTCGTGCTAGTGCAGCAAAGAGGCTGGGGAAGGTGCTCTTCACACCTGTCTCCACGGTTCTCCCTTGCTAGGTTGTTCCAGCTGGTTGGGAAAATCGATGACACACTTGCCCTGCTCAATCTGGTGAGTTTGTCCCTCCACGGGTGGGGGATGGGAGGAGACTTCGACTTCACTGTGGTGATGGGGAGGGGAGGATAGTGAGGATGGCAGGGGGAGGACAGCCTTTGGCTCCTTGCCCTGTGCACAGCAGACTTCCAGCTTTCCTGGGGGGCCAGGTGCTGGCTTCTGGTGCAGGGCCAGACGCTGGCTCTGGGGTCTCTTCGCTGGCCTTACTCCTCTTCCCGCACCTTGCAGGCCTGCATGATGACCATCACCTTCCTTCCCTTCACGGTGAGTACCTTGGCCACACCTGCCGTACCCCCTACCCCACCAGGCCCAGAATTGCTCATTGTCAGCTGGCAGGTGCCGAGGAAGAAAAGTTTCTGGAGCTGAGTGCTGGGGCCCGGGTGTCAGGCTGGAAGGAGGAAGGGGCACAGGCGCCCTGAGTGGGTCCCATCCCATGTGGCCTAGGCCCTTGCAGCCCTGGCCGCATTGACCCCAATCGGTGCACAGTCGCCATCTCCAGCCTGGGCCTGAGGGTTCAGCAAGAGGAATTCCAAGCCAGAGCTCAGCCAGGTTGGGCTGGAGCTCCAGCCCTGCACACCTGTCTCGTTTGTTCTGTGGCTCTAGTTCTCCCTGATGGTGACCTTTCCCGACGTGCCCCTGGGTATCTTCCTGTTCTGCGTGTGTGTGATCGCCATCGGCACCGTGCAGGTACAGGAGCACCCGTGGGGGATCCAGGGCCGTGCAGGATCCCTGGTCCCCAGATGCCTGAGGTCAGCACGATCCTGCCTTGGGACACACGGGCACGTGGGCACGTGGGGGTGTGCGGGCAGAGGGCTCTCGTGAATGGGCGTGCAGCACCCGGCCTCTGCCTGTCCCCCTGCCAGGCGCTGATTGTGGCGTACGCGTTCTACTTCCCACGCCTCCTGGACCCCCGGATCGGGCGCTCTGCCAACAGGGGCTTGTATCAGCGGCACATCCTGGGCATCGTGCTCCGTGGGCCTGCCCTGTGTTTCGCTGCCGCCTGCTTCTCCCTCTTCTTCTACCCCCTGGTGAGTGCGGATTTTCTCGGAGGCAGAGCAGAGCTGGGCTAGGCAGCCTTAGGGAGGGCTGGAGGGCCTTTGCCTGTCTGCGGGCCCAGGGCAAGGCTAGGGGCAGGTGAGAAGTGACCCCGCAGCTGGAAGGCCAGCTCTTCGGGCCCTAAGCAGCACCCCCATGGTGAGTCGTGGGAGCCCAGCCATGGCACCCTACAGGGAGCACGTCCAGAGCTGGCGCCTTGTGGAGGCTGGGAGTTACCAGGCTAGACTTTTGGGAGGGAGCTCCACACTAAGAAGGGTCAGGTGAGACCAGCGGGGAGGGAGAGAAGCACCGGGAAGGAGCTGCCGTGGGGGCCTGTGTGTATAGGGGTTGCAAGCACAGGCACGGCTCCAGGGTGTCAGGGCCATGTGAGGGGTGAGGCAGGTCCCCATCGTGGACAAGTGCCCAGGATGAAGGAAGGAGAAGGTAGGCTGGGGGGAGGGGAGTACCAGGCCTGGGCACATTGCGTTTCCCTCTGTGTGGACGGTGCTGCTCAGGGCTGCGCAGACACCCCTGGATTGCTCTCCCCAGTCCTGGCGAGGGGGGTGGCCCCCTGCCCCATGCAGTGTCTCCCACAGCTGAGCAGGCTCCTGCGAAGCGTCTGCACAAATCAGTTTTGCACTAATGGGTGGGGTCTGGGGACAGGAACACTTCAGTGTCCCTCCAGGGAATCCGCCTGATCACTGTGTCTCCCTCCTCAGTCCTACCTGCTGATGGCGACCGTCATCTTCCTCCCCTACGTCAGCAAAGCCGCCAGCTGGTGCAAGGGCCGACTCACGGGTAGGCCCCGTGCCCCAGAGTGGGCACTTCCAGCCGCATGCCTGCTGCTCGGGCCAGCCCTGTGACAGGGGCTTGGCCCTGTTGCACCCACAGGCCCCAGGGAGCCCCCAGCCCCCAGCATGGAGCTCTTCACCTTTGACCTGCATGAGCCACTCAGTAAGGAGCGCGTGGAAGCCTTCAGCGACGGGGTCTATGCCATTGTGGCCACGCTGCTCATCCTGGACATCTGGTGAGGAGCCAGCTGCCCCTCCCGGGCCAGGGGCCAGCCAGAGTGCCGTAGTGGCCAGTGTGGGCAGCATGGAACTATGGTTCCCCAGCATCCAGCAGGCATGGCTCGGGGAGGGCTCCCCTGGAGGCCAGGGCAGTCAGGCACACTGAAGATGCAGGAAGGAGGTGGCTCCTCTGGGTGGGGCAGCAGGACCCCCGTCCCCCGCCCCTCACCCCCCGGGTGTCCTCGAACCCGTGGTTTGTGCTGAGTGTGAGCCCAGGCAGGGCTGCTGAGACTGTCCTCTTGCAGTGAGGACAACATCCCAGACCCCAGGGACGTGAAGGACAAGTTCCACGGCAGCCTGGTAGCAGCGCTGAGTGAGTTTGGCCCACGCTTCCTGGCCTACTTCGGCTCCTTCGCCACGGTGGGCCTGCTCTGGTCTGCCCACCACTCGCTGTTCCTGCACGTCCGCAGAGCAACGCAGGCCATGGGGCTGCTCAACACGCTGGCGCTGGCCTTTGTGGGCGGCCTGCCGCTGGCCTACCAGCAGACCTCGGCCTTCGCCCGGCAGCCGCACGACGAGCTGGAGCGTGTGCGCGTCAGCTGTGTCATCATCTTCTTTGCGAGCATCTTCCAGTTTGCCACCTGGACTGCGGCCCTGCTGCACCAGGGTGAGACGCTGCAGCCGGCCGCCCGCTTCGGGGGTCAGGAGCATGCCTTCATGTTTGCCAAGCTGGCGCTGTACCCATGCGCCAGCCTGCTGGCCTTCGTGTCCACCTGCTTCCTGAGCCGCTTCAGCACCGCCATCTTCCACCTCATGCAGCTGGCCGTGCCCTTCGCCTTCCTGCTGCTGCGTCTGCTGGTGCGCCTGGGCCTGGCTGTGCTGCGGGCCCTGCTCCGGGCTGGCCCCCATCGTGAGGAGGACATCCGCTCCCCCCTCCTCCCTGACCCCCACGCGTGAGGCGGCCTCCTGCTGTCAGAAGGGACTGTCTGGGCCTCTGGAAGCTGCATCAGGCCAACCCAGTGGGGTGGGGCGACTGCCCTCAGGCCCCAGGCAGAGACGAGGCTTGGGGAGAGCAAGACCAGGCTGTATTTGTCTGGACATGGCTTGGGGCACAGTGGGAAGTGGTCAGTTACAGGCACAAACACAGACAAGGCCACCGCAGCACCACAGCCACCCCATGGAGGGCGTGGGCCTGTGCAGCAATTACAGCACTAAGACGGAAACTGTTGTGTGAGTGTATATGTGGAGGGCGTGGGCGGGACCGGCCACTGAGGTGCAATGAGAGTGTGGGGAGCTGGTGGCAGGCCTGGCATCAGCTGCAGCGGGGTGGGACAAGACAAAGTGCTGGTGCCTCTTGGGTGATGAAAGGGTCTCCTCCCCCACCCCCAGGCTGGGCCAGGCCTAGTGGGCCAGGGTCCCCTCCCAGTACTGAGCCTCCTAGTGGAAGGTGCAGCTTCTGAGGGGCGTTGGGGCTATAGGAGCTGGTGGCCAGGCTGGCCTGTATCTGTCAGACAGCGACCTCCGGCCCGTGACAGTGATGGACGCCAGAGCCTGGCACTGCCCCAGGACGAGGCTGGGCACCTGCCTGAGCAGCTCCACCTGTGGGTTGTCTGTCCATCAGCAGCCTGTGCTCCCACTCGGGGCAGGCATCCCATCAGCCTTTCGGGGCCTCTGCTTGGCCTTGCGCAGCATGTGCACCTGGAGGGCAATGGGAGCACAGTGGGCAGAGGGGGCGGGGGGCGGGCAGGGGAGGGAGGGGACCAACCTCCTGAGCCTGACATACCTTTGGGCCAGCAGCTGAGATGATGATGTGCCCAGGAGCCTGAATCCAGGGCTCACCATCTACCTGCACGGGGGTGGCCTTGAGGAGGGTGACTCGGAAGTAGGAGCCCTGAGCAATGCGGATGCCAGAGCGCAGCCCGCCCTGGACCTGGCCCTGGGGGAGGGGAGCCAGTTCAGGGATGCGTGCTGCCAGGGCGGCCCGCCCCCGAAGCCCCGGCCTCCGAGGCAGCTGCCCTCTGCTCACCATGTGCAGGACGCCCGTCACCCCCACCACCTCCAGCAGCCCATCGTCCATACGCGGCTTCTCGAACCTCGAGTCGTTGTCGGAGCCCCACAGGTCAGCCCCTGAGCCCCAGCTGCGAGGAGGGTGTGCGGTGAGCCTGGTGGTCCAGGGTGGCCCTGGCTTGCCCAGCCCGCTGCCCACCTGCCCCGCCCCTGCACCTGGGAATGTTGATGAAGATGAGGCCCTCGAGGCTGGGCAGTGCCACTTCCTGCCGCCCCACCTGCAGCCGCACCTCCCTGTGCAGGCCCCGGGAGTGGCTCATCTTCTGCAGCCCAGCCCGCAGGTACATGCCCTTGTTGTGGAGCCTAGAGGATGGGGCGCTGCAATGAGGTGGGGCAGCCCCAAAGGGGCCGCCCACAAGGCGCTGGCTGGTACCTGCTGGTGAACCTGCTGGGCTCCTCCTCCCGCGCTTGGTGGAAGTCCAGGCTCAGCTCCGCGTCGATGCCAATCCCACAGTAGTTGCTCATCTGCACGATCTGAGGCCGCGTGTCCCGCTGAGCCCCTGCAGCCCAGGCAACCCCCCCCCCCCCCCACTGCCAAGCAGGCAACACCCCCCACTACACCTTGGGAGGTTCAGGTTCGGCATTGGCTGCACTGCTCTCAGCACCACTGGCCTGCTGAGCATCCAGCAGGATGGTCCAGCGGTCCACAAGCACAGCGTCTGCCTCGTCCACTGACAGCAGCATGGACAGTGGGTCCTCCCCGCTGTAGCCAGGCCCCCAGCGGAGCACACGGCCAAGGTCATTCCCTGCAACACGGGCATATGCAGGCTGACACCCGCCTCCACAGTGATGGGCCAGGAGATCCCACACAGCCACTGACCCACCTGTGCCCAGGGGCAGGATGGCCACCGACGGGTCAGGGCAAGCCAAACGGTGCCGCATCTCCTCCAGGGCAGCGAGCACCCAGCCCACGGTGCCATCCCCTCCACATACCAGCACCCGGAAGCACGGCACTTGGGCAAACAGGTGGAGCCTGGGTGGAGACAGACAGTGTTAGCTGCCCAGTGAGGGAAAGAGTCAGGGACACAGAGAGGGACAATGAAGGACACAGACACAGTGAGGGACAGAGAGGGAGAGTCTCCCTGGCAGCTTCAAGCCACAATGGATCCCCCAGGTCCCTGGAGCTCCCGTGTGTGTGTGTGTGTGTGTGTGTGTGTGTAAGGGCTGTGCAGGCATGTGCATGTGCATTAGGTCCACCTGTGTGTGCATGTGTAAATGCACGTATGTATGTAGGGCATAAAAATGTGCTGGGCCTGCCAGTGTATGTACACATGTATGCATATGCAGGGCATGTACATGTGTGTGTGATGGGCCCACCTGTATGCATGTGTGTATATATGCATGCAAAGAATGTGCATGCATGTGTGTGCTAGGCCCACCTGCGTGCGCAAATGAGTATGCGTATGCAGGGTATGTGCACGCATGTGTGTCTGGGTCCACCTGAATTTGCATATGTGTGCTAAGCCTGCCGATGGATGCGCACATTTGTTTGCACGTGCAGGACATGTACGTGTGTGTGCTAGGCCTGCTTGTATGTGTGCACATGTGCATGTGTGCAGTGCCTGTGTGTGTGTTGGACCCACTTGTGCATGTTCATAATGTGTAAGGTGTATGTGTGTGTGTGTGTGTGTGTGTGCTGGGCTTGCCTGTACGTGTGGAGACATGTTTTTGTATGCAGAGTATGCACACGCGTGTGTTTGTGTCCCTCCTGGGCCCCCACTCACCCAGGCAGAGGCCCACCATTGGTCAGGTCAAAGACCTGGTGAGGGTTCAGCAGCTTCCGGAAACTGGTGAGCAGGTCACGGCCCTGGAGGCCTCCACTCTTGGGGTTGACGAACACGAGGAGCGGCCGGCAGCCTGGGGGCAGCTCTGTGTGCTGATGGGGGGCTGGGTCAGGGCAGGCTCCCAAGGCCACGCAGCCCCCCCACGGCTGTCCGAGTAGGGCCACCACCTGTGGCCCAGCATGGCAGTGACAAAGCCACAACACCTCCACGGTGACCATGCCCGCGTCATCTCCTGACCCGCAGTTGCTCTTCAGGCCAGCGCACCGGGGATGGTGTGAGCAGCCCTCCCCGCCACCCCAAGATGCTTGTGCCTGTAGGGGAGCTCTGCCACGAGGGCGAGTGGCCAGGCCCTGGTGGCCTGACCCAGAGGCGCTCCACAGGACCACGCTGACCTGTGAGCTGGGGTACAAGTGTGACCCTGAGACTGCCAGGGAGACCCCAGGGCTCACTCCCACCATCAGGCCATGCGGCCCTCTGACACAGCTGGTCTTCAGGACAAGTCCAGCATCAGGGAGGGCACCGAGACCTCTGACCTCAGGGGCCCCCCAGCCCACTCACCAGCACCTCTGGGAGCACGAGGGCACTCAGCGCTTGGCCACGCACAGCCGTCTCCCGGACCAGCATGTACAGACGCTCGGCCTCAGCAAAGCAGGTCACCTCCAGCACCACGGCACCTGTGCAGGCAGGGGGCTCACAGACAGCCCCTCGCAGAGCCCCAGCTGCCCTGCCAGCCCACATGGGGAATGGCACCACCAGGCAGAAGTGGGGCAGATGGGGCCTCCCTGTCCTGGGGTCCCAAGGGCAGAGCTGGCCACACACCAGCCCCTCCACTGGGCACGTGGAGACCCCCACGGCAAGTCTCGGTCACCTCTTGGCAAAGCCACTACTTCAGGTTTCCCTGGCCCTGGCTCTCCTGAGAGGGAGGTCAGGACCCACCTACCTGGGGATGGCCTTTAACCTGGAAGCAGGAAGGGCAGGGTTCTCCCACCTAACTGTGGGGTGGGGCAGGCTCACCTTGAGAGGAGTAGACGTGGCTCACGGACACCAGGCCAGCTGCAAGGGGGCAGAAGACTGACCCTGCTGCCGCCCCTGCACTCAGGGCCCCCGCCCCCCTGCACCCGACTCCCCCAGGCACCCACCCACACTCCACCTTCAATAGCCCTCAGTCCCTGCCGGGCCAGTGGTGGCCGCACCTTTGGTGGCCAGGGCCTTGTCCAGCAGGTCGCGGTATTCCTCAGGGGACAGACCACACGGCAGGCCACCAACAAACAGAGAGACCCGTGGGGCCACGGCCCTGCTCTCGGCCACATAGAAGCGCACCTGGTTCATCTGCCGCAAAGACGTCTGTGGGGGGGGGGGGGAAATGATGGGGGTGGGTGCTGGGGCAGTCGGGCAGCCAGTGTGGCCAGGGCCCAAGCCTCTGGACGCACCTGGCACTGGGCTCCCCCGGGCACGGTGGGGACAGCAGCCACAGCACCCACCTGCCGGATATCTCGAAGCCGGTCGAGCAGTGACTCACTGTCGGCCAGGGGTGTCCGCTGGACTGGAGAACAGAGTGCACTGAGGGCCAGGCGCCAGGCAGCGGCAGGGCGGGCAGCTCCAGGACACAGTGTGACACTCACCTTGCTTGCTCCCCATGATCACTTCCATCAGCTGGAAGCTTGGGGCACCCTCAGCCTGCAGTGGGGGGTGGACATCAGGTCTGGCCCCCAGCTCCCTCCCAGGGACCCTCCGGGGAGTCCCCAGGACCCACCTGGCGCCCGAGCAGCGGAAGGACCTCCAGCACCACAGTCCCCGCGGTGCTCTGTGGGGTCACACAGACGGACACGTAGGCTGCGCCCTCCCTGCAGAGGTCAAGCTTAGGCCTGGCCTGGGCACACCCCCACCCCCAACCCAACCCCTGGCGGGGGCCTCACTGGTGCCAGGCGGGGTAGATCTTCAGGACCTCCTGCGTGCGAGGCCGGGCACGGAGGACCCAGGCCGTGGGCAGCTCCCCAGGGGTGGCAGCCGGCAGCGCCTGCAGCTCCACGTTCTCAGGGTCCTCAGGGAGGTAGTAAGCCCGCAGAGCCACCTCCTGCAGAGGGTCAAAAGCTGCAGGGCTCGGGGCCACTCCGGAATGCCCCCACGGCCACGATGCAGCTTACCAGCACCTCCTCGCTCCGGGCCTGGCGAGGCACCACGATGACCTGGAAGTGGTTCCGTTGCACCGCATCGTTGCCATCAAAGACCCTCAGGGTCTGCTTGCCTGGGTCAGAAGGGAGTGGGTGTGGATCTGCGGTGGGGACAGGGCAGGGGAGGACGAGTGCCGGGACGGGAAGGGCTCAGCCGCTTACCGGACTCGGGGGCAGGCCCCTCTCTGCCGGGGCTGGTGCTGCTGTCCTCATTCTCCGCCCAGTCCCCTGCAGAGGGACAGTGGCTGCTGCCTCAGGGCCCCTACCCCCAGCCCACCACCCTCCCGGCCCCTCACCTGGCTCTGCCAGCCTCTCGCAAATGCGGAAACAGTGCATTTTGCTGAAGTTTCGGGACAGCAGGCGCACGCATGTGGGGGGCAGGGTCAAGCTGGTCAGGCGCCCAAAGGTGCACTCGGCAGCAATCACCGCAGCGCAGACGGAGTGGGCCTGGGTGGGGGCACCGTGAGGAGCTGCCCAGCTCCCAGAAGCCCCGGCTCTGCACCGTGTGGGAAGAGGGGGCAGACCCCGGCAGATAAGGCATGCCCCCCTGCCGCCCTGCTCAAGCCCACCTGCACGCCGCACCACTCGCAGCGGACGCCGGCCAGCACATCAGAGGAGCCGCAGGTCTTCCTGCAAACTTGGCAGCGCGCGCCCGCAGGCAGGTTGCCCTCCCGCCAGTGGTGCCGCTGCGCGTCCTGCTGAGGGTGGCCACCACGGGGTGTCAGGGGTCGGTGGGGGCCCCTCCAGCGCCCGCCCGCCCCCACCTGGCAGCCGGGGAGCCGCCGCACTTACGGGGTCCCGGTGCCCGTCCCGGTGGCACTGGCGGCAATCGCTGCAGGCGAAGGGCACACAGTCGGGGTGAACGTGCAGCTCACACACTGGGGGGCGGGAGGGTCAGGGCCGGCCTGCGGCGGCGCCCCACCCACGCCCCCCACCCACCCCGCGCGCCCCCAGCTACCTTCGCAGCGCAGCGCGGGCGAGTCCAGGCCCCGGCGGCACACGGCGCAGAAGCGCCGCCGCAGGAGCCGGCGCGGGCCGAAGCAGTGCGCCACGGGGACCTGCAGGGGCAGCTGCTCAGACACCGAACAGGGCCGCCCCCCACCCTCAGGCAGCCCCCGTCCCCCGCGCGCCGTGACCCCTACGCACGCGGACCAGGCCGGGCGCCAGGCTGGCACAGGGCATCTTCACTTGCTTCAGGCACTTCTCATGGGACATGAAGTTGCACACTACGGGGAGGAGCATCGTGAGCGCGACGCCCCCCCAGAGACCCCGACATCCCACGCCCCCAGGTCTGTTCGGGCCCCTGCCTCTCCACACGCTGCGTGAGCAGGGTTACGGCCCAAGGGCGGCCGAACCCTGAGCCGGCAGACCGGGAAGGCGGATGCACAAGGACACGCCCCGTCGTCCTGGGGACCTGGCTGGGGAGGGGTACACGGGGGACGCGGCCCCTCCTGGCCCCCAGCTGGGCCCTGGGCGGTGCGGAAGTGGCGAGCCCGAAGAGGGCCCCGTGCCCGTAGGGGCGGGCGGACAGTGCCCGCTTGCCTCCCTGGCGCTGGGCGATAGCACCCCGCGCAGCACACCCCACATCCGGGGCTCCGACTGCCTGGTCACCCCCGCTGCTAGCAGATAACAGCCGCCCCCCGCCCCCCAGGCCCAGGGCCAGCGCAGAGCTGTCCCCAGTGGCCCGTCTACTCCGCACACCCGGGGACCACGCCAGGCCAGCCCGGCCGCCCGGCAGGCGCCCCGCGGTGCCCAGATCGGGCATGCCCAGCCCCCTCCCGCCCCACCCCGTCCAAGCACGAGCGCGGCCCGCGAGAGCCGGGGCAGGAAAGGGTGGGACGCGGGCGGCACGCGGAGGGCCGGGCTCACCGTCGCACAGGAAGCCCGCCAGCCCCCAGATGAAGTCGGAGCAGAGGTGGCAGAAGGTGGGCTTGGTGAGCGTCACCTTCCGGAATCTGTGGCCCGGCTCGGGGCGCAGGGAGCCGCCGCCGGGCTCGGCAGCCGCTGCCATCCCCCGCCCGCGCGGCCCGCGCTGTGCGGGCCGCGGGGAGCGCGGAGGAGTGCCGGGTCCGTGCTGGGGAAGGGGCGCGCGCCCGCCGCCAGCCGCCCGCCCGCCACCCGGATCGACGCGCTCGCCGCCAGCGCGCAGGCGCATCCCGGGGGCGGGGACCTGCCGGGAGGGGCGGGGCCTGCCGGGCCGGTAGGGGCTTGCAAGGGCGGGGCCTATGGGAGCTGCAGGGGCGGGGCGGGGCTTGCAGGGGTGGGGCCTATGGGAGCTGCAGGGGCGGGGCCTGCCGGGGCGGGGCGGGCCCGGGCGGGAGAAGGTAAGGCTGGTGTTCCCAGGCCCAGAGCCCTACCCATGTCTTGCACATACTGGACTCCCAGACTTTGCACCTGTGATGCCCAGGCCCCCGCTCCCATATGATGTGGTGATCCCAACCAGGGTTCCCCGTTGCTCAGAGCAAAGTTGGGAGTTCTCAGTGCTTTCTAGACTGGGGCGACCTGAGTTTCAGGCCTGGCCCTTCTGGCCCCAGTCTGAGGTGTAGGCCCGGGAGCAATATGTGGAGAAGGGTCAGTCCGTATTTGGGGGGCCCCAGTATCATCTGCAAAGGTGGAGGGAGAAGGGCGCTAGGAAGACCACCTCTGTGTCCCCAGAGGCCCCTACGCATTGCTCTCCCCAAATAAACAAAGGTTAAAATAATAAATTAGGGCTGAAGAGACAGTACAGCAAGTAAGGCAAGTACTTGCCTTTGCATGTGCCTGACCCAGGTTTGATCTCTGACCCTGAAGATGGTCCCCCAAGCCCAGCTAGGAGTTACTCTGAGCATGGAGCCAGGAATAATCCCTGAGTGCTGCTGGGTATGGCCAAAACCCAAAAAAATAAAGAAAAGTTTTACATCCCAGGCTCTTGTTCCTTCTCACGAGGTGGCTTACGGCCAAGTGTGCTGTATGAGTACCTCCAGGACACCCTCATCTGGGCTCTTTTTGTTGTCATTGTTTTTGCTTTTTGGGCCACACCCAGCTGTACTCAGAGATGATTACTGATGGGGCTCCAGGGACCGTATGTGATACAGGGCATCAGCATGCAAGGTCCTCCCCCTCTCTTATTTTTATTGGATTTATTTATTGGAAGTTCCTGAGCTTTTTTTTACCCATGAAATTGAACATTGTATTTCTGAATGAAGCTGTGGTGCAGCCAACCAGTTAGCAGAAAGGCAGGTGGCCGCTGAGAGAACTGAGAAGTAGGGTGAGGCACTCCGAGGACGCAAGGACAGCAAGTCTGAAGAATGACCCGGGCTAGACTAAGGAGCTATCACACATTGCTGCCAAGTAGAAAAGTTTTTAGCTGTTCAGTGCTGGCTTCTGTACTATGAGCGCCTAGCTTCTATACTATGCTGCTTAGTTAGAAGCCAATTGATGTTGCCAAGCAGGATGTGATAAGAATGTATAAAATGCCTGGATTCAGGTTTGGGGCTGTTTACTGCACTCATTCCCAGATCTGTAGCCCTGCAGGTTAATAAAAGCTCTTAAGTTCCATGAACGAGAGTGCTGGAGATTCCTCGGTTAATCTCTCACGCACAACACAGCCTATCTGGGTAAAGTACCCTGGGTGAGGCATTCATTGCGTTGCCTTTTTTCACTATATTCCAGTATTATCTTCAGGCCTGGAGGGTTTCCTTTGGTAAATACTCTGTAAACCGTAAGGAAGCTCCTTTATATATAATACCCCTCTTTGTTCTTGTTGCTCAGTATTCTGATACTATCTGGGTTTTCATCATTCTGATCAGGATGTCTTGGAGTATTTTTATGTGGCCCTCTTTCAGCTGGTCCCCTATGGGCTTCCGGGACCTAGTGCATGCACTCTCTAGCTTTGGGAACTTGTCAGCATGATGGCTTTGACAGTTGCTTCCTCATCAGGGTCGTCCTCCGGCCCTCCAGGACCCCGATTCTTATGCTGTTCCTTTTAAGTTAATTCCAAAGTTCTCTTACCAGCCATTCATTTATTTTGAATGACTTCTATTATCTGAAGTTTCCTGAACCACTGATTTTGTCCTCAGCAGCAATCGCTCCACTGCTGAGGCTGCCCAGAGAGTAATTTTCATTTTGCCCATCAAGTTTTTCAGTTCCAGCATTTCTGTTTGTAGTTTTTCATTTCTTCTCTCCTATCCTTTGTGTTTTATTAGTACTTTGTCCCATTGTTTCTTTGAGCTTGAGCATATCCATTCTGAATTCATTTCCAGAGAGATGATATACAGAGAGAGGGTTCTTATGGATTGGTTCCTAGGATTACAGTCTTCACCCGCTACCCATGGTGGGGATGTGCGCTGCTTTACTGTGGTTCCTTACGTAGTCTGGGTGTGTGTGTGTTCCTCTTCACTCTCAACATCCCCCCTCCACTGTCAGCAAGATATCTGGGGGAGCCCTACTGAAGGAGGAAGAGAGATTATCTTGCCCCACTTCTGCAAAGGGCACTAACTCCTGACCTTTGGGGGAAACCGGTCCCAGCTCAGTCCGTTTTGTCCAAACCCAGAGTGAGTGGGCCTCTGGAGGCCTGGGGCAGGGGCGGCCCGGCAGAGTGCTGGGGACCCACTTCTGTGCTTGCATGTTTATCGGCCATGTGCTGGTGGTCAGGGGCCACGCCTGGGAAGGACCCCTCCGAGATGCTGGGATTTGAGCCACACATGGGGAGGTGCAACGGGAGGGCCTTACTTACTTACTTACTTATGGGGAGGTGAGTGCCCTAACTTAACCGTGGACTCTCTCAAACAGGTTTGTTTGAGAGGCTGCTTCCTGCTGTGAGCGCGAGGCCACTGACCCACCGGTCCTCACAGCTGACTCCATGGCTCCACCCAGGCTCCACCACTCTGGGAAGGTCCATGCAGGTCCCCCTGTCCCTCCACCTCCAGCCGGCATGGGCTCTTCTCAGCCCCGCGCACCCGGGGCACCAGCAGGACGGGCACATCAGGGCGGGTGAGGGGGCCGTCACCGCCCCCACGCTCTCTGCCGGCCACTGGCCGGGGAGGCCGCCCCAGGCCCCGCTGTCCGCCCGCCCCGGCCCCGCCCAGCTGCTATCCCCGCCCCGCCCACGCCCCGCCCCACTGCCCCTGCACTGGGCCTTGTCCCCGCGTCCCCGCCCCGTCCCCTCGCCGCCCCGCCCCGCCCCGCCGCCCCTGGCCGGGGCCTTGTCCCAGCGTCCCGCCCCGGCCTGTCCCCGCCCGACCGGTCCCCGTCACGTGGCCCACGACTGGAGGCGGAACGCGGTACCCTGCCGGTGGTCCCCAGCCATGCGTCCCCAGCGGCCCCGCGCCCCGCTGCTCGCGCTCCTGGGGGCGCTGCTGGCGGCCCCCGCGGCCCCGGCCCGGGCCCCGCACTTAGTGCTCGTGGACGCGGCGCGACCTCTGCGGCCCCTGCGGCCCTTCTGGAGGAGCACTGGCTTCTGGTGAGCTGGGCCGCAGCCCCCACCCCCACCCCCGACCCCCACAGACAGAGGCTTTCCGCATCTGGGGGTTTATTCTGTGCTCAGGAGGAGGGGCCCTGCCGGCGTGGATCAGGGAGTCTCACCCGCCCACCCCCTCTTTCCCCAGCCCCCCACTGCCCCACAGCCAGGCTGACCGCTTCGTCCTCGGGTGGGACCAGCAGCTCAACCTGGCCTACGTGGGCGCCGTCCCTCACGGAGGAATAGAGCAGGTGCGCACCCACTGGCTGTTGGAGCTCCTCACGGCCAGGTGGGTGTGCCGGAGGCGGGGAGCCGGGCGGAGCCCACCGGGCGCTTCAGGGCCGTGGCCCGCAGGCCATGGCCAGCTCTGGTCTGGGGCCCAAATGGACAGCTCACTGCCCAACTCTGCCGGGCCAGCCCCTGGGGAGGGCCAGGGGCAGGCCGGGCTGGCCCGGACACGCCTCCCCCGCAGAGCTGAGAGACACTTGGGCGTGATGTGGGCGGCTCAGAGGCTCAGGGCGGTGGTGCTGTGCTCGCTGTGCTCATGGGCCTGGATCCATGGCCCAGCGGTCTCTCTCTGGTCTCTGAATCTGGCTGCCTGGGGTGACACCCAGGACACAGCGGGGCAGGCATGGGCTGCTAGCAGGGGCGGTCCGCGGACACCTGCTCCCTGAAGCGGGCGTGGGCGGCCTGCACGGCACTGTGGACGTTGGGGAACAGCTGTCCCTCCTCTGCACTGGCCCCCAGGTCTTCCCCGAGGAAGCCCCCTCTGCACAGGGCAGCTCTGACTGAGGGGCTACAGCCGGCCAGGAGCAGGGCGATGCCCAGGGCCTGGTAGTCTCGCCGCAGTTCGCGCAGTGTGGCCATGCCCGCCACATCCAGGAACAGCAGGGGGGCACAGTCGATGACCACGGCGTGGAAGTCGGCTACAGGGGACAGCAGGGCTGTGGCACTGGGCCCTGCAGCCAGGTCCGTGCCCTCCTGCGTGTCTGGCCCTGTCCTCCTGGCAGCCACGCGGCCTGGGTCCAGCCCGGTGAGGCCATAGAGTGAGCGCAGAAAGAAGTCCTTGTTGGCGTGGTAGAGCGGGCCTGTGAAACGGAACACCCGCACACCCGGCTCAGCCACCAGGCCCTCAAACTCGGCCGCGTCCTCGTAGCAGGCAGAGTCCCCAGCCCGGGCTAGGAGGGCGGCCCGCGGGCGCCGCGTGCGGGCGGCCAGGCCGAGCACGGAGAGCAGCGCCCCGGCCAGCAGCCCGGCCTCGGTGCTGAGCAGCACGCAGGTGGCCGCGGTGGCCACCCACACCAGGGCGTCCGGCCTGCTGAGCCGCCAGAGCCGGGGCACATCCCGCACCTTGCGCAGGGCACCCCGCAGGCTGACCGCGATGACGCAGGCGAGCACGCTGCGTGGCAGGGCCTGGAAGAGCGGCGCCAGCACCAGCAGCACCAGCAGCACCACTGTGGCGCTGACCACGCCCGACAGCTGCGTGCGGCCACCCGTGGCCGTCTTCACCAGGCTCTTGGCCAGGGCGGCACTGGTGGCAAAGCAGTGGAAGAAGGCGGGCAACACGTTGCAGCAGCCCACGGCCAGCAGCTCCTGGTTGGCGCGCACTGCGTAGCCGTGGCTGCGCGCGAACATCTCCGCCAGGGAGACGGAGAAAGCAGCGCCCACCAGGGCCAGGGGCACCGCGTCCAGCGCCACCCGCCACATCAGCCCGGCGTCCGGCGCCTGGGGGGCCGCGAAGCCAGTGGGGATGCGGCCAGCCACGCTGGAGCCGAAGCGCTCATGGAGCCGCCCGAAGTGGGACACGAGCGTGGCCACCACGATGACCAGCAGCTCTGCGGGCAGCGGCACTGGCAGGCGGTGCCGGTAGCGCTCGGACAGCTCCTTGGTGGCCAACAGCAGGGCCAGGCTCAGGGCGCTGGTCACCACGTCGCAGGGGTTGGCCTGCCCGACACTGCGCAGGAGGCTGAGCCATGTGCGCGGCACCATACCCAGGCCCTGGTGGCGGGGCAGCCGCACACCCAGCATGTGCCGGAGCTGCGAGGTCAGGATGGTCACTGAGGCACCTGCCGCAAAGCCGTCCAGCAGCGGCTGTGAGAGGTAGGTGGACAGGAAGCCCAGGCGGAGGATGCCCATGAGGACCTGCGGACAGAACCCAGCTGGGTCACCCGCACGTTGTGGACGGTGTGGTCAGGAGACATTTGCCGCAGCAGCGGAGTTACCTCAAGGGCGCCGACATGACAGGAAGCGGGCCACGCATGGGCAGGAGGCCACACCTTGCCTCTGCATCTGCCTCTGCATGCTCTGGGGACCTGGAGCCTGACCCCTGATGGGCACGCCGCTGTCCCCCACACTGCCCAGCCTCCCTCTGCCCTCCAGGGTGGTGCTCAGATGCCTCACCTGGTAGATCCCGGTCACCAGTGTGAGGGCACAGGCCACACGGATGGCGTAGCAGTCCTGCCCACACGGTTGGGGCTCCAGAGCCTCTGTGGAGGTGTTGTGGGCACTGAGGTTCCACCCTGGGCCCTCGGCGGCTGTGGTGGCGGCAGGGTCGAAGCCGGCCAGCAGGAGCTCGCGGTCCACCACCTGTCCCACCATGAGGCACAGCAGGCTGAAGATGCCCACAGACACGTGGCGCGAGGTGCCCAGCAGGAAGTAAATGAGGTTTGCGAAGAAGGAGGTGTAGAGGCTGTAGATGGGCTGCAGCCCGGCCAGCAGGGAGTAGGCAATGGCCTGGGGCACCAGGATGATGCCGATGACCAGCCCGGACAACACGTCGCCAGCCAGGTCTTCCCGCAGGCGGTAGCGCGGCAGCCAGTGCGTGGCAGGCACCAACGTCTGCAGCAGTTCCTGGGCACCCCGCAGGCGGCACTCTCGCCGCAGCTGGCTCTTGAGCCTCTGCCACAGGCCCCGGGGGGCGGGGGGCTGCCGGCGCACCAGAACCAGCCCTGGCCCCTGCGGTGTGCGCTCCGGGCACACATCCATGGTGGGCACCTCAGGATCCTGTGGCCAGAAACACGGGGTCAGGGGCGTCCCGGTGCCCACTTGCCCATCCACACACCTTCTGCCCGTGGCCCTGCCCTGCTCCCTGGAGAGGGAGGTGCTAGGCCAGTGCCCACAGTGGAGGGCCGAGAGCTGTGTCCCTGCTGGCTGACGCACACACGGTGGTCTTGCCACCTGTCTCCCTGGCTGAGAGGGGCCTGCCCCGGCCCACCCCTTCCCCTGGGAGCTTCTCGAGCCTGGGCTGACTCACCGGGGCAGAGGCCAGGAAGGCCAGCCCAGGTTCCCTTGGGGCCTGCTGACTGGACCCCTGAGCCCGCTGGCTCCAAGCACAGGGTGCTGGCAAGCGGTTCAGGAGCCAGCTAAGCACTGAGTAGCTGGCAGTGCTGGACCGCTGGCCTCAGGCTCTGAGAGCTGCCCACTGGGCTGGGCCTGCAGCGACGTTATTTACCTGGAGAGTGCTGAGTCACAGGTCCACCTGCATCGTTACCTGAGCTGCTAATCCGGAGGGCTGGGAGCTGTGCTGTAACCAGAGGCTCCAGCAAGCTCCCCACTTCAGACGCCGCGGTGGGTGCGGCTGGCCTGGCAGACAGCTGGGGCAGGTTCTGGGGTGAGGCACGACGGGGAGGGGGGGCCCAGCGGGCCACTGAGCCTTTCGCGAAGCCCACAGCAGCAGCCCCAGGGCCCTAGGAGGTGGGTCTCCGCGTCTCCTCCCGGCACCCCCAGCCCTGCCTCGTGGGTGCCCACCCACTGCCCTGCGGAAGCCTGACCTGGGTCACGCGGGGTAAGCAGATCACGGGGAGGGGCGTGTCCGTGGGTGCATCTGTAGGTGTGTGGGAGTGTCTGCGGGTGACTGCATGTCTGCGGGGAGTGTGGAGGGATCTGTGGGTGTCTGTCTGGGGAGGTTGCTATACCACGGTGAGTCCAGCCTCACGAAGGGTGCCCCATCTCTACTGGGCTTTGGGCCCCCCAAGCAGTGCTCGGTGGTCACTCAAAGACGCCAGCCATGTGCCAGGCCCTCACTCTACAGGAAGCACATGAGGTGGCTTCCTAGGGGCTGGGGGGCTTCAGCAGACAGGGGCACCCTAGGCAGCTTTGCTCCCCAGCCCCATGCAGGGCGGAGCACGGGAGGAGCATGCCCCGCGTGTGTGTGCAGGTGTGCCCGGCTCGGCCTGCCCAGGTCTCAGAGTTGCTGTGGTTCAGGTGGGGACTGGGGTGTACAGAAGCCAAGGTCCTTATCTCCTGGTGCCACTGTGGCTCATAAACAGGCTTTATCTCCAGCCCTGCTACCGGATGCTGCTGGGTTCTGGCTGGGGCTGCAGGCACTGCTGGTTCTCACAGGACATGAGGAGAGGCCACTCAGGAGGTCCCATGGAGACACTCGGCGAGCTGTCCCCGGCTCCTGTGACATCCTGCACCCCCCTCCCCCCGCCCGGGGCCAGCCGCGCTGTTCTTGGTGGCAGAAATTATGGCCGGGAAGCTTCCGCTGAGGTCATGCTTGACCTTTCAGAGTCCCATGGCCCCCTGACGTACCCCCAGAGTGCCACCCCACCTCCTCTGTCCCCATCTGTGAGTGGGGGCAGGGGTCTCCAGAGCCTTCCCCTGGACTCTCGCGCTCCAGGGCCGCACAGCTGGCTCTTGTTGCCTTTAAGGAGCTCTCCAGGCTGCACACTCCTCGGAAACCTGCCTGGCCAGGCCAGCTCTGCGCCTCCTGCCCCCGGTGCAGCCCGGGGCTTCTGGGGGACCTGGTCATCTCGCACCCTCTCACCCGTCACCGCGCACTGAGCACCAAGCACTCACCCGTGCGGGGCGGCTCGTCCTCACGGCCAGACTGGGGGGCGGGGGACCCTTCCTGTGGGCGCCTGGCAGGGCAGGGCCCGGGTTCTGCTCTCCCGTGGTGGGCTCGGCCCGTGCCCCCCAGCCCACCCCCATTTACCTCTCTTGGTGCACCCGGAGCCCCTGCGGCGAGCTAGCGGCGACCCACCCCAGCACACACCTGCGGAACTTTGGAACCCGCCTGGGCTGTGCACTTAATTTTCACCCTTGCGTGTGAGCAGTTCTTCCTTGGCTACTGGCACTGACCTTTGGATGGGAGGGCTGGGGAGGGGGAGTCCCCTTCCTGCGGGGAGGAGGCCTGAGCAGCAGGAAGCACGTGTAGAGGCCCTGGGCTCCCTAGCTGGGCCCTCCCCCGCCCTCATTCCAGGAAGGTCCTCAGGGCCGCCCGCCTGCAGTGTTCCCCACTGGCACGCCCCAATCACCGGTCCGGGATGAAGTCTGGGAGCTTGGGGGCAGGACCCCAGCACTGTGTCCCCAGGACCCCTCCACCCACCCGGAGACCCTGCTCACCTGTCCACTCCTGTCCTGCCCCAGTCTGGCTGTAGCGGGGACTCTGCCACGTGCGGGCAAACCTGGGGCAACAGGAGGACGGGCTGGGCTGGGCTGGGCTGGGAGGCTGGACACTGAAGTTGGTCACTGAGCAACACAGGGATGAGGTGAGGGCCGGTCCAGGGGAGCGTGGGGAGCACAGGATGCCAGGTGCGGGCTCTGGATGCCTGACCGACCAGCAGCCCCGTCTGGGCTGTGGCCTGCTCAGCTCCTCCCCCCAGCCTCCATGTGCCCCCGGCCACAGCCAGTCTGCTGCTGTGGGTCTGACACTCGAGCCTCCCGCCTGGGGCTGTGTGTGCCCAGAAATGAGGGAGGGTCTGCTCCTGGCTTGAGGGGTCCCTGGCCAACATGAGCCACAGGCACGGGGGCACCCTGCCACCTCCCATCCACCTCCCCCCAGAACCCCAGCCTGTGCCCCCCCCCCCAGCCTTCCCACACGCCCTGTCGTCCCTGCCCCACCCCTGGCCACAGGCTCTGGCCAGGTTGGGATGCTCTGCAGACACCGGCAGCATGGGCGGGCAGGTCTCGGCATCTGCCTCCTGCTTTCCAGTGGCGGCTCCAGCCCGGGGCCCTTCTCCCCACTCCCATGCTGATGTCCTCCTGCTAGGGGCTCAGCCGGACAGGGGCTCATCTACAACTTCACCCACCTGGACGGGTACCTGGACCTTCTCAGGGAGAACCAGCTCCTGCCAGGTAGAGGGGTCGGCGGGGGGAGGCAGGAGAGGGGGAGGGCAGTGGACGGCAGGCAGCCCCTCCTGTGCTGCAGGCTTCGAGCTGATGGGCAGCCCCTCTGGACGCTTCACGGACTTTGAGGACAAGCAGCAGGTGTTTGCCTGGAAGGACCTGGTCTCCCAGCTGGCCCGCAGATACATCGGTGTGTAGGGCGCCCCCCCCCCACCCGCCCCGCTTCTGGCATGCAACTCTCCGGGGGAGGGGGAGGGTGTGCCACAGCAGGGCCACTTCACAGGGCGGTACGGACTCGCGCACGTGTCCCGGTGGAACTTCGAGACGTGGAATGAGCCGGACCACCATGACTTCGACAACGTGACCATGACCTTGCAAGGTGGGCGGGACTCCCTGGGCAGGGCACGGGGTGCATGCGTGGCCCCTCGGGGACGACCCCGTCCCTCCGTGCAGGCTTCTGCAACTACTATGACGCCTGCTCCGAGGGTCTTCGAGAGGCCAGCCCTGCACTGCGCCTGGGCGGCCCCGGCGACTCCTTCCACCCACCACCCCACTCGCCGCTGTGCTGGGGCCTGCTGGCGCACTGCCACCACGGTACCAACTTCTTCACCGGGGAGCTGGGCGTGCGGCTGGACTACATCGCCCTCCACAAGAAGGTAGGCCGAGGCCCGGCTGCCGGCGCAGCTGTGGCGGGGGCCCTGGCGACTCTTACGCTGCTGTGCGCAGGGCGCGGGCAGCTCCATCTACATCCTGGAGCAGGAGAAGGCGGCCGTGCAGCAGATTCGGCAGCTTTTCCCCAAGTTTGCTGACACCCCCATTTTCAACGACGAGGCGGACCCACTGGTGGGCTGGTCCCTGCCACAGCCCTGGAGAGCCGACGTGACCTACGCGGCCATGGTGGTGAAGGTGAGGCGCTCGTGCCCGCCCCCCCAGGCCTCAGGCACCCCTGGGCCCGCTGAGTGTGTCCCGCTGCCACAGGTCATCGCGCAGCACCAGAACCTGCTGGTGGCTGACAACAGCTCGGGGGTCCACTACTCGCTGCTGAGCAACGACAATGCCTTCCTGAGCTACCACCCTCACCCCTTCACACAACGCACGCTCACGGCACGCTTCCAGGTCAACAACACACGCCCGCCCCACGTGCAGCTGGTGCGCAAGCCGGTGCTCACGGCCCTGGGGCTGCTGGCACTGCTGGGTGAGCGTGGGACATGAAGGGACGGGACGAGCTGCAGATGGGACGAGCCGTGAAAGGACGGGCGAGCGGGGCAGAGGGCACTGAGTGACCGTCGCGTGGGACCTGGCCTGCAGACGGTGAGCAGCTCTGGGCCGAGGTGTCGCAGGCCGGCATGGTGCTGGACAGCAATCACTCAGTGGGGGTCCTGGCCAGCGCCCACCGCCCTGCAGGCCCCACCGATGCCTGGCGAGCCACTGTGCTGGTCTACGTGAGTGACGACACCCGGGCCCACGCCAACCGCAGTGTGGCCGTGACCCTGAACCTACAGGGCGTGCCCCCGGGCCAGGGTGAGCTGGGGGCAGAGCGGGGCAGGGAAGGGCGGGGCTGCAGGACGCGCAGCCTCAGTGTCCCCCGACCCGCAGACCTAGTCTATGTGACGCTGCGTATGGACAACCAGCTCTGCAGCCCCCACGCGGAGTGGCAGCGCCTCGGCCGGCCCGTCTTCCCCTCGGCCCAGCAGTTCCGGCAGATGCGCGCGGCAGAGGTTCTGAGGCGGGTGGGCACCAGGGGAGGCCATGCGTGCCCGCTCATCCCGCCCGGGGTCCCTGACCTCTGCTGCCTCCTCAGGACCCCGTGGCGTCGACACCTAGGCCTTTCCCCACCCGTGGCCGCCTGACCCTCCGCCCCAAACTCCCGGTGCCCGCACTCCTGCTGCTCCACGTGTGTGCCCGGCCTGAGAAGCCTCCCGGACAGGCAGGTGCCCCCTCCTGTGCCACCCTGATGCCCCGCCCTGCCCCCACCTCATGCAGTGCCTCTGTCGTCCCTCAGGTGACCCGGCTCCGCACGCTGCCCCTGACCCGCGGGCAGCTGCTTCTCGTCTGGTCGGACGAGCGGGTGGGCTCCAAGTGCGTGAGTGAGCGGCCGCGTCCTTCCCCGTCCATGGGGCACTGCAGGCTGGAGGGCGAATGGCCTTGCACTGCCTTGCAGGTGCCTGCGGACCTACGAAGTCCAGTTCTCCGCAGAGGGGCCCCACACAGCCTTCGTGCCTGTCCACAGGAAGCCCTCCACCTTCAACCTCTTTGTCTTCAGCCCAGGTGCGCCCAGGTCTCTTGCCCACCCGTCAGCTGGGGGTGCTTTTAGGACTTGGGGCAGGTTCAGATCTTAACCAGGGACCCGCCCGTATGTCCCCAGACTCTGCTGCTGTCTCCGGCTCCTACCGCGTGCGTGCAGTGGACTACTGGGAGCGGCCAGGCCCCTTCTCGAGTCCCGTGCGCTACCTGGAGGCCCCCAGGGGCTGAGGGCCCCCTTCCCAGAGGAGCCTATGTGGGAGGGGAGGGGCAGGTGCCCAGCCCACACGCCCCTCCTGCCTCTCCTCGCCCCCTTAAGACATGTGCTTTTCCACATGTCGTCTCACGCGTGACTTTGTGGAACAGGCACTGGCCTGGGCCTTGCCCACTGCCCCCTGCTCAGAGTGGCCCTGCCGAGAGACACCTGTCCACGCCGGCCGCCTTGGGGCAGTCCTGGTCGTCCTGCAGATTCAGGAGTTGAGTCTGCACTGGAGGGGCCCCTGGACATCCGCCTCGTGGGCAGACCAGGACCGGAGGTGTTGGCAGAGTTGGGGAAAGGCCCGTGCCCAGAGAGGGAGTGGGAGGGCTCCTGGCAGGGGCCGTGTCTCAACCTGGGAGTTAGACAGCCAGTGGGTGCAGGGGCCTCACCCCATCCTACCTCCCCAGTGTGAGAGGTTAAGGTGCACCCAGGCCCACTGCGAGCCGTCCCTGCCTAATGGGTGCGGGGCAGCAGCCTGGAGCCCCTGCGAGGCCCACACAGCTCGTCCTGGGCCTTGACACAGGCTGGCGCCTTCCCAGGCCACAGGCATACCCTGTCCATGCACACACCAGGATTCGGGGCTCCCCCTCGTCCCTGCCCTGGTGGCAAGCACACAGTGTGACCTTTGTCCGCCCCCAGGCCCCTTGATGGCCGCTGACTGAGTCCCTGGGGTTGACTGAGGCAGATTGGGCTGTGGTGGCTCGTGGTCTGATGGGACATGCTGTACCCCCTGGCAGGTCTCACCTGCCACCCACTGGTCTCTGTGCCTGTGGGCAGCAGTTGAGGACAGCAGCCTTGCCTTGACACAGACTGGCACCTTCCCAGGGTGGGGTCAGAGTGATAGAGCAGGGAGGGTGCTCACCATGCACACAGCCCACCCGTGTTCACGGCACCCAGTACGGTCCCCTGAGCTTGCCAGGAGTCAGCCCTGAGCACTGCTGAGTGTGGCCCCTAAAACAAAAAGCAAAACAAAACTTTCCCAGGACTCCTGGATGTCCCTGGTGGTCTCCTCTCCGAAACCGTGCCCTGATCTCTCGGGCACTGCTCACCCCTGCCCACTGGGCCCGGTCAGCACTGGCCCTCCAAGAAATGGCCTGGGACCCTGCGTAGAGCAAGGCCCCCTCACCAAGCCCTGTCTTGGGTTCCGCATGGCAGCCTGAGCACGAGGTGGGTGCCTGTGTGCCCAGGTTCACTGCTGGACACTGTGTCCACACCCCAGAAACGCCGTCCCCGTTGAGGCGCTCTCTCCTCAGCTGGTGACTGTCGCTCTGCGCCATGTGGCCATGACAGACTGCTGTCCCCCACGGCTGTGCCTTCTGGTTCAGGGGGCTAGCACCCCCATTTCTCCCATGTGATGGCTCCCAGCAGGCCTGCCCACATCCCGACTATTGCCAGGGCTCAGGGAGGGAGCACAGCTGCCCGACCCAACTAGCAGACCCAAGCCAGGGACCATGGCAGGGTCTTCCCGGGGAACCAACCGTCTTCCCTTCTCTTGGGGCTCTGGCCTCACTCCAGCAGCTCGGCCCAGAATGAGCTGTGTGCAGCCTCAGACTGGGTCCAGAAGCTTCTGTCCATCTCTGGTTCCTGTGGCTTGCAGCACTCAGCCCATAGCCATACCTGGGGTCCTGGGGAGAGGTGCCAGGCCTCCAGGTGCTCAGCCTGGAGGACGGCAGTCGCACCAACTGCCAGCAGCTCCCTGCCTGCCTTCGTGCTCGCTCCTGTGCAGGGACAGCCTCCCTGCAGTGCTGGCCCTGCTCTCTGGGGCCAGCTGCTCCCTGCTGGGTGGAAGCCAGAGGCCCGCCCCCACCCTGCCATCCATGCTCTGTGCCCTTCCTCACCCCGACCCACCATTTTTTCTTGCCCACGTCCCTCGCCAACCCTTTGCCCCATTCCTCATCTCCCCAGCTATTCTCCCTGACCCCACCCTGCCTCCAGAGCCCCCAAACCCCACCCTCATTCCCCTTCCCCACACTCCCTCCACTGGGGTGGGGGTCTCAGGAGCTTCTGTGACCCCTCCCAGCTCTGGCCTCAGGGAGACGGGTGGGTCTGAACGAAGGGGGCCGTGTCCCTCAGGGAGACAAGTGGGTCTAGACTCGGAGGGCTGTGTCCCTCAGGGAAACAGTTGGGGGCTGTGTCCCTGGCCTCAGGGAGACGGGCGGGTCAGGACATGGTGGGGAGGGGGCTGTGTCCCTCAGGGAGACAGGTGGGTCAGGATGAAACCCTAGAGCCCAGGCAGAGTGGAGGAGGAGGACCCAACTGCCCATGTGGGAGCACAGCAGGGTGTGCCCAGGGACACCCGCAGGTCAGCCCTGCACACCAGGCTGCTGTGGCCCCCAGACCCTCCAGGATGGGACCTGCCCCCTTCGCCCCCAGGGCCAGGCAGGAGCTGTGCCCTCCGGGTCAGAAACAGCAGGGTGGTCTGGGGCAGCACTGCCCAGGGGCTCCAGAGTGCTCATCTGCGGCCATGTCTGCAGAGAGCTGGATCCCACCCCACCTGCTGTCCTGTCCAGGGACACGGCCAGAACCTATAAGATGCAGGAGCTGCTGCACTGGGGCTGGCACAGGCTTGGGCTGCTCCCGAGTCACCCTAGGGGGCCTGGAGCCTCCAGGAGGATGTTCCTGGGCTGTGGGGGGACAAGAAGCTGCTTCCGGTCAGCTCAAAGGCCTGCTGCCCAGAAGACGCTGCTGGGGCCCCTGGGCAGGTGCCACTCACCTCCCTGCCTCCAGAGCCTCCCTACAGGCTGCAGGCTCCGCGGGGAGCCCTTAGTGGGCCCTGTGGCCTCCTGGCCCAGAACTCAGACTTCTCAAGACTGCTCTCGTGAAGCTCCCACCTCCTCTAGTGGCTGGGTGCAGGGAGGCAGCCCCACCCACCCCACCATGTGGGTCCTGGTGTACCCCATGCCCTGCCCTCCTGGGCGGACTCCGAGGCGGGGGGCAGGAAGGGGTGTGGCAAGGGGCATGGAGCCTGTGACCCTCCCCTGTGTGCCCTGAATTTGATTAAACCAAGTCACTTGCTGCATCTGCTCACGACAGATGTTCTTTCCGTGTCTGCAGTCACGTCACAGTGAGACTGCGTGGAGCCATGGCAGCCTCTCCTCTCCTCGCATCTGGGTGGGTCCCCTGGGTCCACCTTTACCTCTCTCAAACATTCTAGAAAGTCCCACTGGGCCGTGCATGTTCTCTGCAGGAACTTTTTTGGTGTTGTTTCTGCTTTGCTTTGTTTTGATTCACATCCAGCCGTGCTCAGGACTTACTCTTGGTTCTGAGCTCAAGAATTACCCCTAGCGGGCTCCAGGGTCCATATGGAGGGCTAAGGATCAAACCAGAGTCGACCACGTGTAAGGCAAGCACCCTACTAGCTCCCCAATGTCAGGACCTTTTTGTTTGTTTGGGGGCCACACCCAGTGGTGCTCAGGGCTTACTCCTGGTTCTGCACTCAGGGATCACTCCTGGTGGGTTCAGTGGGCCATTCAGGATGCCGGGGACTGACCCAGGTGGGCTGCCTGCAAGGCAAACGCCTCCCACTGTCCTATCACTCTGCCCCTCCCCCTTTATTTAATGCTGCTGTTTCTGCAGTCATGTGGCTTACAATAGTGTCATGTCTGTGCTCCTGGAATACAACGCAACTACCCATCCTGCCGCCATTGTACCTGACCCTGGGCCCTTCTCGTGTGCCCCGTCCCTCCCCAACTGTGCAAGAAGCTTAACGCCAACACAAAGTCATTTGCTCTTATTTTGTTTGGGGGGACATGCCAGCAGTCCACTCTGAGCCCCCAGCCTGCAGCATCCCTGTACGAGCACTCTGAGCTGTCCCTGCGGGTCTCGTGAAGTCATCTCATGAGAGACTCAGGCTGATTCTTCCAGATGGAGCTAGTCTCTTTGGTTTTCAGAGCTTTGTCCTTTCTCCCTCAGGTGTGAACTTCACTGGGGCTGTTTCTGTTTTGTGCCCACACTGGCCCCTCACGTTGCTCACTTGTCCCCCTTTGCTTCCTGATCCTCCTTCAAGAGATTTCTGGGTTGAATTGATTTCACGGCATCAGTTTTGCTTTGTTTGCTTTCCCTGCTGCTTTTGTTTCCTGCTTCACTGTGTTCAGCCTCCATCTTCTCTGACTCTGTTCACCAAGGCTCATCTCTTCTTGACTCTGGTTTCTGCACACAGCTGTTTCCTATGTAAGTGTCGAGGGCAAGGTTGTTCTCATGAACCTCTCCCTGCAGCCACGCTCCCCATGTGCTGTCTTTGTATATTGAGCCATTGGCATTCAGCTCCTGCCTGTTGCTGTAGGGTGGACTGGGCGATGCCCATAGTTGGCTGGTGCCTGTAGACTGTAGCACTGTCCTCCCGTTGTTCATCGATTTGCTCGAGCGGGCCCATAATTTCTCCATTGTGATACTTGTTGTGACTGTGTTTGGCATATCGAATACATCACGGGGAACTTGCCAGGCTTTGCCGTGTGGGCGAGATACTCTCGGTAGCTTGCCGGGCTCTCTGAGAGGGGCAGAAGGAATCGAACCCATGTGGGCCGGGTGGGCCGCGTGCAAGGCAAACACCCTACCTCCTGGGCTATCGCTCGCTCCAGCCCTCCTATTCGCAAAGAAATTTCCATAGACCCTCATCTGTCACCAGGCACTGTAGGACATTTGCAAAAACAAAACCCAAAACAAAAAAACCAGTGAGAGTGAAATCCTCAGAAAAGTTTCCAGTCTGCAGTCTAAAAAGAAGGCCCACAGGATGAGAGCAGGCTTAGCATATGAGAGACCTGTCTGTGTTTGGTCCCCAGCAGCCTGGGGTCCTGTGAGAAGAGCCCTGGGCTTTGCCAGTGGCTCCCCAAGAACTAAACAGCAACCAAAAATCCTCCCCAACATCACATCCGCCGGATTCCCCAGCTTGACTCTTGTGAGGCTACCCTGGTTCTAGGCGTTCACATGAAGAGAGCCCTTTCGTCACTGCCTGGCATGCTGTGATGGAGTCGTCCCATGCCTACCTCCCTCTGGATGCTTTAAAGCCATTCTCTTTGGGGGCTGGAGCGATAACACGGCAGAGACATTTGGACCACACCTAGTGGTGCTCAGGGTCTACTCCTGGCTCTGTGCTCAGGAATCACTCCCGGTGGTGCTCAGGGAACCTATGTGGTGTTGAGGATCAAACTAGGATTGGTAGCATGCAAAACAAGTACATTAACTCTTATATGAAAACTGTTCTCTATACTGCTACCAGCACTTAGAAAATGGCATGCCCTGGCATCTTTTCTGCTGCTTTTGTTCTTATGTCCTATGCTTAAGTTTTGCTGAGCTTTGGAGAATGGCAAGTTTATGGTTTTTTCATTAACTTTTGGGGGAAATATGGCTATTCATTCCCTAAAATATTTTCTCTTGCATGGATTATCTCTGTTTTTTTAGCTCTGTGCTTCTTTACTGGACATACGGTAAAGAGGGCATAAATGTGATATCTGCTCACTTTCAGGTTCATGTGTTTCCTCTGATGTTGTTCCTTCCAACTCACTCATCTTTTCTTGCAACGTTCTCTGCCAAGTCTGACATCTTTCATCTCTCCACGTCCCATCTGAGGCCTTTCTAGCATTGTGTGTGTTGAATGGAAGAGATAATGCAGTGGGTAAGATGCTTGCTTTGCATGCGGCTGACCCGAGTTGATCCCCAACCCCCCTATGGGTACAGTCCCCAAAGTCCTGCCAGTCGTAACCCCTGAGCATCTCTGGGTGTGGTGCCACCCCCCCCCCCAAGCACACATGTACCACACACAAACCTATTAAACAAAAACATGGTGTTCACTTCTCTAGACACCTTCACCTGGGCTGCTGCTAAGGAGGTGGGGGACATTCTGTCTGCCTGCTGTCACCACCTCTCCAAACTGCCGCTCCCCCTATAATTTCCCGCATTTTCCCAACCTGATAATTATTGACTTTCGAGCGCCCTGCGTCCTGGTGGGGGGGGGGGCGCGGGTGCTGGCAATTTTTTGTCTTCCATCAAACTCTGCATTGGCCTCGGAGGTCCTTGGACTCACTGGGGAGCAGTGGTCTGAGTTCTTATGCCTGAACCAGAAATGCTCTCAGGTGGGCCCTCGCCGTTGAGTGCCAAGGCTGTGGGTCTGGTCACAGGCCCTGTTAATGTAACAGGTCCTTCCCAGAGGCGCCCCAGACCGGGACCATCTCCCGCTCCAAGGGGTTAGTGGCAGAGCGGACAGAAAGCATCCAGGAAGAGGCTGTCTGGGTGGACGCTCAGGCCGCCTGGGCCTGCCTGGGGGCGCAGCTGAGAAAAAGGGAGCGCTGTGGCAGGGTCCCCGCGTCCCCACCAGAGGGCAGTGCGTCCCAGCGCAGCGGGTAGTGGCAGGAGGCCCAGTCTCACCCTCTGGCCAGTCCTGAGGCCAAGCAGGACCCCACCACCGCCGCACATACACCTGCCCTGGCAGCCACACACCTATCGGAGTGCGCCACACTTGGGTGGTGCCACCCCAGATCTGCTGGCCTGGTCTGCGCCCGCCCACGCCCCGCCCCCCCCCCCCCCCCAGTGGGCCTGCAGGTGCCCATCCTGGTCAGGAGTCCTTCCCGCTGGGGCACCGAGCGGGCTGTCCCAGGGAGCTCTGGATAGATCAGAGTGGGCACAGAGGGTCTGCGTGTGTGTGCGGGGGGAGGGGGTGCACCCAGAACCATCAGGAGGGGGTTCATGTGGGGACACGGGACTAGCTCTGTGTAGGAACCACCAGCCCGGGCCGTGAGACACAGCACGGCCTGGGGAGCCCATCAGTCTGGACTCAAGTGAAGGGGAAGCGGGGCCCTGGCTCAGGCACTCAGGCACTCAGGCATCATTGGCACAGAGAGGGTGAGACGGTCAGTGAGAGCCAGAGCCGCCTCCCCGCTAGCCCGCCTGGGGTGGGGCCTTGCTTGCACCTGCTCTGCGTGGGGCCAGAGAGCGGCCCGCCTGCCCTGCGGATCAAAGGGGCGCGGTGTGCTGCTGGCCAGGTGGAGGGCAGCTGTCCCTGGGGGCGGAAGCCTGCAGGTGGGTGGCTCGACCCACCTGCCAGGGTCAAGGGCGCCAGGCGAACCTGGGCCCCAGCAACGACCTCTGTCTCTCATCCCTTGGGAACGGCCCCACGCCCCTCGGTGCCCCGCTATCTCGCAGACGCGGGGGCTGCCGCCGGGTCTGGGGCTCGGCCAGGGCGCGGGCGGGAAGAGGCGGACCGGAGCCGAGCCAGGGACAACTCAGGGGACGCCGAGCTCGGGGATCCGGCCGCGCCGTACGAACGCAGATGTGGAGACCGTCCGGGCGCCCGGGCGCCCGGGCACCTGGGCACCTGGGGCGGGCGCGCGCGCGGCGGGGCGGGGAGACCCTGGGGGGGCGGGAAGACCCGAGGGGCGGGGAGGCCGGGGGCGGGGAGACCCGGGAGGCGGGGAGACTCGGGGGGGGGGCGGGGAGACCCGGGGGCGGGGAGACCCCGAGGGGCGGAGAGACCCGGGGGCGGGGAGAGGCCGGGGCGGGGGGGGAGGGGGAGGGCGAGGAGACCCCCCGAGGGGCGGAGGGAGACCCCGGCCCGCCCCGCCGCGGGCCGCCCGCGGCGCGAGGGTTAAGGGCCGGGAGCGCGGCGGGCGGGGCGCGCGCGCCGACGGGTTGGAGGAAAGTTGGGGCTGGGGCGGGCCGGGGCGCGGCGATTGGCTGGAAGTTGTGCCGGGGCGGGGCGGCGGCGGGCTCGGCGCCGGCCGCGGAGAGTTGACAAAGCCCCGCAGGGAAGGACGCCTCGCGGCGCGGCGCCCCGGGCCCCTTGCCCCGCCGCCCCGGGACCCCGGCCCGCCACGCCGCCGGTCTCCGCGCCGCGCCCCCGCGGCGGCCCGCACCAGGTAGCGCCGCCCCGAGCGCGTCCGAGGCCGGCCGGGCGCGGGGCGGCGATGAGCGCGGAGCGCGCCCCGCGGGCCCGGCCCTGAGCCCCGCCGAGGTGAGCCGCGCGCGACCCCGGGCCCGGCCCCCGCGCCCACGTGGGCCCCCCACGGCGCGGGCGCCTCTGGGGCCGCCGCGCGCGCGGGAGCCGGACGGCGCCGGCCGAGGGGCGCGGGGGCGGCCGGTCACCGCCGCGAGTCCTTTGTCTGCGGCCCCCGCCCGCTCGCGCCGCCCCACGCCGCGCTGACCCGGCTCCGCATCCCAGGTCCGCGAGCGACATGACGCCGCGCCCCGCGTTGCTGCTGCTGCTGCTGCCAGCGCTGCTGCTCGGGGGGGTCCCGCCGGCCGCCGCTGCCCGAGGTGAGTCCTGGCTGCCCGCCCGGCTTCCCGGCCGGCCTCCAGCCCGCCCCTTCCCTGCCGGCCCTGAACCCTGCCACAGTGCCCGCCTGGCGCGGCCGTCGGCGGCGGGCACCCCCTCGCGGTGCCCCGGCCCCCGGAGCCCTGAGCTGGCAGCGAGGGCGGGTGTCCTCTCCCGGTGGACGCCCCCGCCCCTGTCGCGTCGTGCTGTGGGCAGTCCTCCCTGTCCCTTGCCGTGGGCACCATCTCCCCGTTCCTCACCCGTGGGCACCTCTTCCCGTCTGACCCTCCCCTGTGGGCCCCTCCTCTCTGTCCCTCACCCAAGGGCACCCCCTCCTCGGCCCTGACCCGTGGATGTCCCTTCCTTGTCCCTCACCCGTAGGAACCATCACTCCCTCCCCGCCCATCTCTCACCACTGGGCACCCTCTCCCCGCGCCTCGCCTGTGGGCACCCCTCCTTCACCCTCGCTCATGGCCATCCCTCCCTGCTCCTCGCCGGTGGCCACCCCTTCTCTGTCCCTTGCTGGCGGGCACCACAGGCCATGGCTGAGGACACCCCTGGGGGGTGCAGCTCGGCCCGTGGCCCCCACCAGAGTGGGAGAAGCTCAGGGGCCGGCTGGTGGGGACCTCCCAGCAGGACTGAGGCACACCCCAAGAAGTCCCTCCTCTGCGTCCTGTCCAGGTGGTGCCCACGCCTCCTATGCCACGGCTACGTGCCCATCCTGGGCACCTGTGTGCACACCTGGGATGCCCCTACTCTGGTCCACAGGCACCGTGGCCCTCCCCGGCCGCCATGTTGGGCTGCCCGGGTGAGGCGGGTGCTGTGTGGACGCTGACCACTCAGGACGGGCCCTGCCCTGCGCACAGTCCTCAGGCCGGCCTTATATGGCCACTTCGCGCCCGGCGTGGCGGGCGGCGACCCAGGTGGGCCTGATGCCACCGTGCCCCCGCCCTCTGCAGCGCCTGGCGGGTGGTGTGCGAGGCCCCGGGCACCCAGACCAGGCCCAGCTCCCTGCCCCTCCCGGCGGCCGCCAGACTTTGATCCTCTTTTATCTGCTCACTCCCATCCCGCACCTGCCTGTCCTCTGGCCACTTGGCACTGCGGGCAGGCAGCCTGACTGGCCTGGTCGTTGGCCGAGCCTGAGGCTGAGTGGGGGCTGGCAGTGGGCAGTAGGTGGGCGGCGCAAGGCACCCAGAGGTGCCGCGCCCCTGCTGTGTCCCTGGCCTGGCCTTGGGGCTGCGCCTGGTCTGGCCGGGCTCTATGCAGGCGTGTGCCCCAAGGGCAAGAGCCCTGTGCTCTGGGGCCTGGCTGCCCACACGGGGGTGGGCCGCGGCCCCAGAAAGCCCTTCTCTGGCTCAGCTCCTGGAGTCTGGACATCAGCTCGCAAAGCGCCTGTGTCCCCCTTTCCCCAAAGTTTCACAATCTGCAGCTTGCCGTCAGCTGATTACTTAGAACGTGAGCATGCAGGGTTTGGCCGCTCCCTCCTTCCTTGCCCGCCCTCTGGGGAGCAGAGAAGGCCCCGTCCTTGCCTCCTCCTTGGAGCTTTCTGAACCCTCAGCCCGTCCTCCCCACTCACTCACTATGCATGGCCGGGCCAGGCCGGGCTGTGTCGGGTCAGGGATGGATCTGGGAGAGTCAGTGAAAACGGAGCCCACTGGGGGCTGTATGGGCCTGCACTGGTGCCCACACGCAGGGGTGCCGGGGCTGCAGAGCGTGGGGGAGAGGCTGTGAGCAGGTCCTCTGGCTCCCTCCCTGCCCACATCAATGGCCCCTCACAAGCCCATTCAGAGGCGCCTCCCGAGGCGATGTTGGTTTTCCCAGCAGCCATGATCTCCTGTGTCCAGGCCCTGGTTTGGGCAGTGCAGGGGGGCAGGGGGTGGGGTGGTGGCCGTGGGCCCACCCCTCGCTATTGCCCAGCCAATCACCACCGTGCCAGTCTGCTCCCTGGCATGCCTGCAGCCCCTCTCCAGAGCGGCCACCCCCCCATCACGGACAGGCTGCTCCGGGGCGAGGCGAGGGTGTGTGGGAACACAGGCCGTGCGAAGGAGCCGCGTGCTGATTAGCCTTAAAGGATGAGGGTCAGAGCCGGAGGGTACAGGTACAGCCCCAGACGTCCCCTGGAGACCAGCTGAGATGGGCCTGTGGCTGGCCCCTCCCCCCCCCCTGCTCCTGTCTGTCGTGCTGTGCTGAGGGGAAAGGCAGCTAGTGACCGCTCTCCTGGGGCTCCAGCGTGTGCGGCTGCACAGGGTCCCCCAGAAAAATGCCGACACCCGCACCTGGGCTTCCCTGGGCGCAGCCACTCGGGGTGCTGTGGGCTGACTGGTGGTGTCAGCCATTCCCCATAGGGGTGGATCCCGATGGAGGGTGCGGCTGGCAGTCCAGGTGCCAGGACAGTCCCTCCAGTGGGCAGCTGCTTCCTGAACCTGACCATTCACCATCAGGAAGATGCTGTGTCCCGTGCCCCAGGGGAGCCCATCCAGGTCACCACAGTCTCAAGGCCCTGGGCAGCAGTATCTGCTCGCCTGCAGGAACCTCCGGCTCTGGCAGGGCCTCCACTGTGCTCTGGGGTCAGCCTGTCCCTCCGCCACGCCCACAGTGGCCTGGTTTCTATGGCAACCGCCTGCCCTGCGGGTCCTACCAGTTCCACCACAGATGCAGGCCCTGGGCCCAGCCCCAGGCGTCACTGCCCGCCCGGGCCAGGAGCTGCACCCATAGACGCATGTGTACCTGTGTCTGCATCCATGTGGGCGTATCTGTACACATGTGTGTTCTTCTGCATGTACAGGTGTGCGGGTGTTTGTCTGTGTGTACGATTGTGTGTGAGTATGGGCGAGTGTGTCTCCTGTGGAAGTGCCTGTATGTGTGGTGGGTTGGAGTGTCGGGGTCTGAGCAGCCTGTGGTGGTCTCTGTCTGCCTCCTGCGGGTGCCCCGGGCTTGCTCCTTGTACTAGTTCTGCACCCCCTCCTGTCACTACGGGGACTGTGTCCGCACACCCCTCTCTCAGTGCGGGGACTGTGTCCGCACACCCCCCTCTCAGTGCGGGGACTGTGTCCGCACACCCTCCTTCCACTGTGGGGGGAACGTGTCTGCAGATCCTTCTGTCCCTGGGGGAACCGTGCCTATACCCCCGCCACTGTGGGCTGCGCCTCAGGGCTCTCCCCATCCTCGATGCCTCCTCAGTGCCTCACACTACCTGGGGCTCCCTTGTCCTTGGAGCCCCACAGCTCTGGCTCCTGTGGACACTGCTGTGGGCAGCGGGCACTCCCATGTACAGAGTGTGGCTGCAGGCTGGCAGGAGGGTGGATCAGGAGACCTGGGCATGTCTGCCTGTGGCCCCTGAGGACCCTGTCCAGGGATGGGGCGGTGGCAGGGCCACCCATTGTGAAGGCCAGAGAGCCTGTCCCAGGCTGGGGGTGGGCAGTGCCGGGTGGCAGGCATCAGGAGTCCCATGTCTCTCATGCCTGTCCTCATGTCTTCTCCCCACCTGACCCCTGGATCCTAGGGGATGGGGTCTTGGTCTGGTAAACCCAGGAGCCTTCTTCTCGGGTGCTAGGAGCTCAGGTGGCTGTGCCTGTGGTCAGGTCTGGGCAGTGTGGCCAGCCTCTGACTCTTGGAACTCAAGTCTCAGTTGGAGTGCTCCTGGAGGCCCCATTCCTGACACCTTCTCATATGGTATGGGAGGGAGAAGGGGCAGGGCAGCGCCCCTCTTAGCCCGCTATCTCTGGGCTCAACCAGTGCCACAGACTTGATGACCTCTTGTCTATCTGCACCTATGGTTACTGCTTCCTGCCTAGGTCTGCAACCTCCCAGGACTGTTGCCTAGGCTGTGTGCAAGATGGTGGGCTTCCTGGGGGAGAAGCCCTGGAGAAAATGGTGTGTGTGTGTTGGGGGGCCCCAAAGCTGTGAGGCTTTCCTTATCCATGTCCCCTAGGTGCCTGAGGCCTCCATGCTGCCTCAGTTTCTCTCTGAATGAGCTCTGCTCCCTGTCCAGGTGGACAATGAAGCTTGTGTTTCCCAAGCTAATTATAGCACCAAGGCAGTCGAGTTGGCAGCCTGAGTCCCTAGGAATCTGGGGGGCTGGGCCTCCCCTGCTCCTCCGGCTGGGGTCTGCAGCGCCGGGCCGGGGGGAGGGGTGTTTGCTTTAGGATAAGGCTGGCTCCAGCCAGAGCCAATGCTGGCCTGTCCACTGTACTCTGGACTACACTTTTGGCCAGCTGCTGGTCACAGAGCTGCACTCATCTCTGCAGTATGGGAGGGACAGCCACCAGCCTGGATCTCCTGCCTCCAGCAGAAACCCCTGTCCAGGGTGGGCCAGGGTCACCTGCACCCACCAGTTTGTCATCTGCCCTGGGGCAGGAGGTTGGGCTAGCCCCAGCTCTGCCGCAGGGAGGGGTATGCCCCTCCCACAAACTGTTCCTGTGTGTGTGTGCACGTGTGGTTGTGTAGGTGGTGGTGTGTGTGCGCACGTGTGGTTGTGTAGGTGGTTGTATCTGTGTGTGCCATGTGCAGTTGTGTGTGCATGTGTGGTTGTGTCTGCGTTTGTGCCTGAGTGCACATGTGGTTGTGTCTGTGTGTGCGCGTTAGTGGGGCTATGTGAAGGTACGGAGTGTGTGAAGCTTGTGTCCAGGTGTCAGCCAGGCTCCAGTGCACAGAGGATGGGGGAGGGACGGCATGTCCTCTTTGTCCCAAGGCCCCCAGCAGCCCCTGGGAACGATGGAATCTTAGGCAGTGACAGGTGGCAGGCAGGGTCCGCCTGGGGAGGGGGCTGGGCGCCTTGTCTGTGTGCCTCCCCTGTGAGCCAGGAGGGGATTGCAGGCAGTTGGGTGATGGGGAAAGGGTTTCCCAGTCCCTCAGTCCTGCTCTTGCTGCTGCACTGTGGACACTGTCACTACTCGCTGGAACATGCTGGGGTTCTCACGCCTGGTCTCTGCTGCAGGACTGTACTTGGCACTCCTGGGATGCTAGCGCCAGGGACATGCTCACAGACCCTCCCCGGGCTGGGCAGAGGGGCCCCTAAGCCCCGGGTGCCCTGTAGTCAGGAGCTTAGTGTCCCTTGTCCAAGCCCCCACCCCAGCTCACTGCTTCCTTCACCTGCGGCAGGAAGGCAGGGTCCCTGGGTTGGGGCGTGGGAGGCTTCACCCACCCAAGCAGGTAAGGCTGAGGTCCCACCATGCAGTCCCCCCGCCTCTCCCCAGGTCTCCTGCACTGACTGCACCCAGACCAGCGCAGGGGCTGCTGGGAGAGGCCCAGCCTGGAGCTTGTGTGACCCCCAACCCCTCACACCGGCATGGGTGACCCCATGCACATGTTTGGGGACCCCTGAGGTTCTGCTTCTGGTCTGGAAGTTGGGGCTCATCTCTGAGGGTCTCAGGCAGGGAGTCTAAGTGAGTCTGGACCTGTGCCCCCGCAGGCCCCCCGAGGATGTCCGACAAGGTGGTCCCGCGGCAGGTGGCTCGGCTGGGCCGCACCCTGCGGCTGCAGTGCCCAGTGGAGGGGGACCCGCCGCCGCTGACCATGTGGACCAAGGACGGACGCACCATCCACGGTGGTTGGAACCGCTTCCGCGTGCTGCCCCAGGGGCTTCGGGTGAAGGAGGTGGAGCGTGACGACGCTGGCAGCTATGTGTGCAAGGCCACCAATGGCTTCGGCAGCCTCACGGTCAACTATACCCTCGTCGTTCTGGGTCTGTGCCTGGCCACCAAGCCCCGCTTTCCAGCAGGGGAGCCCCCACACCCTGCTTTCACCCAGACCCCCCGGTAGCCCAGTCAGGCACCAGTGCCTGCCTCCTAGTGGGCCCCTGTGGGCTGGCCAAGTTCAGGGCCTGGAACTGTGGTTTTGGGGGGCACTCCAGCAGCCACACCCCACCACTGGGGAGAGGTGGGGCCAGCCAGCCTGGGCAGTGCTGGCCTGGGTGGGGGCATTCCTCAGCCCTGCAGTGTGGCCCCTTCCCAGGGGAGGCAGAGCAGCGGGTGTAAGCTGAGCCCCTGCTCCGAGCCTGCGGCCCCTTGATGTGGGCTAGGGTTACCGCAGCTGCCGGCGGCCAGCCCTCGCTCCCAGGCCCCGCAGACCCCCCGGAGCCGGGGGCGCTCGGCAGGCAGTGGGGTCACCTGCACCAGCTGTCTGGGTGTCGTTCTGAGGGGCCGTGCCCGGCTCCCTCCTGTCTCTGGGCACCAGTGTGGGCCTTGGTGGGCTCTGGTGAGGGGCTGCTGGGGCCCTCTGAAATGCCCCCTCCTTTGCAGACGATGCCAGCCCAGGAAGGGGGCACTCCAGACACGACGGCCCTTCGGGTGGACAGGAGGATGCAACGAGTGCACAGTGGGGTGAGCCAGGGGCTGATGCCTCCTCCTGGGCTGGGTGGGGCGGCTCTAGACCTTGCTGACTGCTGCCACCCCCACCCCCCATCCCCGGCAGCACGGCCTCGCTTCACGCAGCCCTCCAAGATGAGGCGCCGAGTGATCGCGCGACCAGTCGGTAGCTCCGTGCGGCTCAAGTGTGCGGCCAGCGGGCATCCGCGACCCGACATCATGTGGCTGAAGGACGAACAGGCCTTGACCCGTCCAGAAACTAGTGAGCACAGGAGGAAGAAGTGGACCCTGAGCCTTAAGAACCTGCGTCCTGAAGACAGCGGGAAGTACACGTGCAGAGTGTCCAACCGGGCTGGCGCCATCAATGCCACCTACAAGGTGGATGTTATCCGTGAGTGGGCCTGGGCTGGTGGGCGGAGCTGGCAGGCAGCAGAGGCAGGGCAGGCACTTTGCCCACACGAGTCTCCCTTGCCCTTGCAGAGAGGACGCGCTCCAAGCCTGTCCTCACGGGCACGCACCCCGTGAACACGACAGTCGACTTTGGAGGCACCACATCTTTCCAGTGCAAAGTGCGGAGTGACGTGAAGCCGGTGATTCAGTGGCTGAAGCGTGTGGAGTACGGGGCTGAGGGCCGCTACAACTCCACCATTGACGTGGGCGGCCAGAAGTTTGTGGTGCTGCCCACTGGTGACGTGTGGTCACGGCCTGATGGCTCCTACCTCAACAAGCTGCTTATCGCACGCGCCCGCCAGGACGATGCAGGCATGTACATCTGCCTGGGTGCCAACACCATGGGCTACAGCTTCCGCAGTGCCTTCCTCACTGTGCTGCCAGGTGCGTGCCCCTCTCCACCCTGCCCTGAAATTGCACCCCTCACAGGCCCAGGACCCCTCCCCTCTCCCTTGATTTCTCCAGCAGACCCAAAGCCACCAGGACCCGCTGTGGCCCCCTCACCCTCCATCACTAGCCTGCCATGGCCCGTGGTCATCGGCATCCCTGCTGGCGCCGTCTTCATCCTGGGCACCGTGCTGCTGTGGTTCTACCAGGTAAAGAAGAAGCCCTGCACACCTGCGCCTGTGCACCGCCCACCTGCGGCCCCCCGCACCCGGGCTGGGGACAAGGACCTGCCAGTGCCACCTGCGGGGGGCCTGTGTGAGGAGCTGGCGTCCCCAGTGGCCCCCCAGCACCTCCTAGGCCCGGGCTCACCTACAGGCCCCAAGCTGTACCCCAAACTCTACACAGACGTGCACACACACACACACTCGCACACACACACGCACTCACATGTGGAGGGGAAGGGGCCGCAGCACCTGCACATCCACTACCAGTGCTAGGGGGTCTTGGGTCTCTCCGCTCCAGGACACACCCAGCTTGGAGGGTGGCCAGCACCCAGGGGCCCTGGGTGAGGCATCCATGTGGGAGGACACACCTCTAGGTACCAGGACACTGCAGGTGTGTGCATAGCAATAGACACCCCAGTATGTACACAGTCACACCAGACTCCTCATATACAGACACCACATCACACAGTCACTCTCAGACACACAGATACTGCCTCACACACAGACATTCCACCACACACTCACACATGACACCCCATCACACACACTCACACATGGACACCCCATCACACACACTCACACATGAACACCCCGTCACACACACTCACACACACTCACACATGGATACTGTCACACACACCACACATGGACACCCCATCACACACACGGACATTGTCATACACACTCACACGTAGACACCCCATCACACTCACACATGGACCCCCATTACACACAGTCACACATGGATACCCCACCACACACACATGGACACTGTGTCACACGCATAGCCCCTGGCCCAGGTGCCTGGGTGCAGCCCGCGGCACAGATCCATGTTGAAGGTTTTGCAGTGTGCATGTAGTGGTGCACAACGCCATGAAGGAAGCCCAGGCCTCAGGAGGGTGGGTGTGGGGGCCTCTCACCCCTCCTATAGAAGGCCAGAGAAGCACTCAGCTGAGAAAGTCTGGATCTGCACCCCCATCTTCAATGGGCAGTGCTGTTCCTGCCACCCAACCCAGGAACCCTGGGTGTGTGGTGCGACCTTGAAGCTGGAGGTGGTGAAGGTTGACCCCCACTGCCAGACAGAGGGGCCCTTGATATTTATATGTAAGAAATAAAGATAATAATATTAATGATGGGGGGGCTGGTCCACAGACTGGCCTCCCCAGGACCCCAGACCCTCCTGGCCCTGTGGCCGTGCTGGACATCCGGGGTCCACACCGCTGTAATTTTATAGAGTTTGAGCTGAAGCTTCGTTTATTTAATTTATTTTGTTAAACAAGAAGTGCATCCTTTCCCTCCAAGCTGGTGTTTTTGTCTTCATCTGTGTGCCTGATTTGTGCATGTCTTTGATTCTGTGTGATGCACTTGCAGCTATGTGGATGCATGTGCAGGGATGTGTGTGCCTGACTCCATGTGGATATACATGTGCAGTTGTACAGGCCTTTGCTAGTGGAGGTGCCCATGTGTGTTCATGCAGTGTGCCAGGTGGAAGGCTTAGTGTCCAGAGATGGTGTGTGTGTGTGCTGGGGTAAGCCTCACTGTGGGGCAGCAGCTCTGAGAGTACCACCCCCCACCTGCCAGAGCCTTCCTTAGACTCCCTGAGATGTCTCATGCTCTCAGGGCGCCCTGACAGGCCCCGGCCCTCAACCCCATCCTGGGCCCTGTCCTCTGGCCGGCGGCCAGCAAGTAAGCACTGGGACCCTGGAAGGTCAGATGACACCCCGAGGTGGGGGCCAGGGTGGAGCCGAGCCCCAGACTGACTGGGTGCTGAGGAAGTGCCCAGCCTGCATCCAAACCATCCCTCAGCCATCTCTGCAGGTGGCCCTGAGTGAGGGGCAACTCCAGACAGACTAGGGGTCCCAGAAAGGGGGCATGGATGGGGGGGCAGGGCTGCAATATTGGTGGGCTGAAGGGTGAGAAGAGCCCTGTCATCAGGGTGGGCACAGCCTCCTCTGCTTCTGCAGATCCTTCCACACATGGGACCTGGGCTGGGCCACAGGCAGGAAGCCAGCAACAGAGGCCATTGCTGTTCGCTGTCCTAGCTCTGTTCTCTGTCCTGAGGACTCAGGGGGCGGACCTAGCTGTGCCCTCAGAGTGACCTCCACAGGTGTGGGTACAGAGCCACTGAGAAGCAACCTCTCTGTAGGCCTGAGGTGCCAGGCGCCCCGCTCTGCCATCCTGGTGCACAGTGGCTCTCGGCACACCCCTGGCTTCAAAGGGTGCCCGGCAATGGCTGCCCGCAGCTGTTCCAGGGCCGGGCCGTGCTGAGTCCAGGGTCAGGAGTGTGACAAGGGCCAAGGGTGAGGGGGGCTGTGGGTCGCTGTGCCTGGCAGGAGATCAGAGCCTTGTCCAGAGGCCCAGCACAGGGATAGGGCCAGGCGCAGGAATGCTGGCTAGGACACAGGCCCACAGTCAAGGCGCAGGGGGAGGGAAGGCAGACTCGGCCCCATGCTCGCTGGGACTGGGGTCCTCCCCACACCTTGTCCATGCCAGGCTGCCAGCCTGCTCACCACTACACGGAGGCTGTGAACAGTGTGGCTGCTGGGACAGGAGGCATGGGCACGGGGTGGGGGTGCATTTCTGGGCATCTCGGGCCAGGGGCTGGCATATGCAGTGAGCAGGGGCCTGCCTGCGGGCAGAGGCAGGTTCACAGAGGTCCATCCACCTTGCACGGCAGGCATGGGACAGGGAATGATAAAGGAGAGGGTGCGGGGCTTTCCTGGGAGCTGGTCTGTGCTCCCTGATGGAGGGGCTGGGCTACAGGAGAGACTCGCGTGTCTCTGAAGAGGGGAGATTGCCTGGGGATGGGCTGAGGGAACTGTGTGTGGGGTGGCATCAGGGACAGAGGGCCCTGGCGGCCTGCTGCAGAACTGCCTGAGTGTCCAGGCCAGGGCACCTTACGCATTAACCACGCCTCCAGCAGCAAAGCTTCTGGTCCCTGCTGCTCTGCCCACACCCTCCCTGCAATGCTCACCATTCGATCTCTGCCTCCATCTGTCTCTGCCTCCATCTCTGACTCTTCTGTCTCCGTCTCCGTCCTCGGTCTCTATCTCCATCTAAGTCTCCAGCTCTGCCTCCATCTCTGTCTTCTAGCCCTGTCAAAGTCAGCACCATGGGCAGATCCGTGAATCTGCCCCCTCTGAGCGCCCCTGTTCTGGGCCGTGGCCACACTCCTGCTTGAGGTCCCCGGGCCAGCTGTCCCCAGCGCAGCCACCCTGCCTCTGGCTTCCTAGGGACTCCCAGGTGGTGTGCTCATCACAGCCAGGGCAGGAGCAGCACTGCCCAGGGTTGGGGGCCCAGCTTCAATGCTGTGGACTGGATGCAGGAGTCCCCCCCACCCGTGTGCCCGGACAGAGCTGCTGTGCGGGGTGCAGGCTGGCTTCCTCTCAGGAGTCCCGCCTGGGATCTCGGTTTTCTGGGGGCTCCAGCTGCTCAGCAAGGAGATGAACTGAGCTGGGGTCATGTCTGTGTCCTCTTGTGGGCAGGGTCTGTCCCCCCGGCAGGCCTGCTCTGTCCCTATTCATGCAGTTGCTCCCCTCGAGGCTGAGCTGGAAGCTCTGAGCCGCCTTGGAGGAGCCAGGTGTAGGAAAGACCCTGCTGCAATGGCTGCAATGGCCAGGACAACTGGCCAGGCCACACATGTGACATCTGTCAACAGCTGGTGTAGAGTGGGACCAAGGAGAGGTGGGGAGGGGGTGTCGCCTGGAAGGACAGGAAGAGGAACAGGGGGCAGGCAGGGATGCTCTGGCCCTGGGCTCGGCCTGGCCCCTGCCCATCTGCCATGGCCCTGCCGTGTGAGCAGTGAGCAGGGCAGCAAGCCCTCTGGGCCAGCAGCCCTGTGCTGACCTCCGTCCCCTCCTGGGGTTACATGCCAGGAAGGAGGCCGGGCTGGGGAGCCGCGTGCTGGCTGCCGCCTGCTGGGGCGCCTGCTTCACACAGGCCACGTCTCCTTCGTCGTTTTTTCCTCTATTTTTTTTTCCACTTTCTCCAGTAGCCGCACTCGCAGCTCGTTCCTCCCTGCAGTCCCGCCAAGGCTGGGGGCCACAAAGCCCCTTTGACAGCAGTGGGGGAAGGGAGGGGGAGCAGCAGGGCTGGGGGTTCCCGGGGCCCCAAATCCCTCCTGCTGTTGCCACTGTGAGGACAGAGCCCCAGGCTTCCATGATCCCTGGCCTGCAGGTCTTAGGGAGTCAACCTCAGGCTGACTGAGGGTGGGGTCGCCCTCGGTCTCTGGCTAGAAGACTGCACTCCCCAGTGGCCCTGGCGAAAGGCTTGGTCCGGGGCTGGCAGGGCCATAACACACCCCCTAGTGGGGGTGGGGGGAGCTGGCAGAGGAAGTGTTGGGGGAAAGGGGCCATGCCCCTGGGCTCTTGGACGTGTGGCAGGCCAGAGGGGGGTTGTATCTGCGCCTGCGGGGTGGTCAGGAGCCTTGCTGGCGTGCCCGGCAGGGGCAGTGGCCAGGCTAGGAGCAGCCCAGAGCGAGGCTCAATGCAGCCTTTGTTCAGTGGCGCCCGGAGCCGGTGGGCCAAGAGGAAATGAGGGGAGCGCCAGCCAGCAGCTCTCGGCGCTTCATCGCTCGCTCGCTCCTGCTCTCGGCCCTGCAGACGCCAGCCAGCCTGGTCAGGCAGGCAAAGCGAGGCGGCTGGAGGAGGGGGGGCTGCTCCAGGGAGCGGAGGTCGAGCAGCCAGCCCAGCCCAGCCCAGCCCCAGTTCTCCCTGAGGCAGAGGGGGGCGGGCCTGGGGAGGCCACACCCCATCCTGCTTCTGCCTCCCCAGCTGTGGCTGCCCTCACTCTGCTCAGGTCCTCACCATGGCCCACGGCGGGGGCAGCCCTGCGGATGCCGGGCAGCCTGTGACGGGAATGTGTGCCCGAGTGCACACAGGGACTGTGTGGAGAACATATGTGCAGACATACATCTGCATGCAACGTGTGTGTATGCTGACACGTAACTGTGTGCTACCATGTGGCTGTGTGGTCCAGTGAGCTGCTGCGTGTGCTGCTGTGTGCCGTGCTGCTGTCTGTGCTACTGCATGTACTGGGGTGTGTGTGTGTGTGTGTGTGTGTGTGTGTGTGCGCGCGCGCGCGCGCGCGCGCACATACAGGGCACATCTCAGCATGTGGAAGGAAGTGGGTGCTCCCAGCCCTAGGCGCTGGGTGCTATAACCCACAAGGCCACCCAGTGCAGTGTCTGGAGGTCCTTGCCTCAATGGGCTGTGTGACCAGGTAGAAGCATCCCCAGATGTCCCAACTCAGGTCCGGAAGGTGACCCAAAGCACCTCTGACCCCCTTCCTTGTCCCAGTAAGGAACAAGTCCGATGCACGGAGACCCTACAGTGACCACGGTGCCCTGGGTTCCCGGTGGGGGAGCCTAGATGAAGGAGTGAGGTGAGAGTGCCCAGGAGAGGGCAGGCCCCTAGGGCCTAACGGAGCCAAAGGACATCTTGCGGGCAAGCTGGGTGTGTGGGGCCCAGCAGTCCATGTGCCCATGCACCTGCACGTCCTGATTGTGCCTATGGTCCCTCAGCCAGGCCCAGCCCAGCCCCCGGCAGCAGCTTGGGCTCTCAGGCGGCAGAGCCAGCTGCTCCCAGGAAGGCTGGATGTGGGGCCTGGTCTCCCCCATGCCCACAGGGGTCCTTCCTGGTTCCAGGTGCCTCTGGAGCTCCACCCCACCCTCTCATTGCTTGGGTGCTGCTTTCCCGCAGGTCTCGGGGTCTGAGGTGCCCCCAAGCCCTGGCTTGAGACTGCAGCAGAAGCAGAATGTCTGTTGTGCAAGCCCAGAGTAGGGGGACGGCCACACTCTTCTCTGGTTCCCCCACGGTGCTGCCCCTCCTGCTCCTGCTCCCCACATTCCCAGCTCTGGGGGCGGCAAAGAAGAGCCCGCAGAAGGCACTGAGTCAAATCTGCACCTTCTGGCCAGCGGCGGGGGCAGAGGAACCAAGCACAGCTGGGCTTGAAGAGGGACACACAGGTGTGAGCGTGCTGCCCTGCCCTGGCTTTGCTCTGCTGTGGACCCGGCAACCCTGACCTCACCTCACATGTGGGGTGGTGGTGAGCAGGGGCCTGGGGCTGAGGCTCCTGGCTGTGGGAGACAGAACTTGTTGGGGTGCTGGAATTGCCTGCAGCTTCCTCCTGAATAATCCTGATTTCACACAGCCCAGCCCTGAAGGGGCAGGAAGGGGCACATGACTCCCCCGACAAGGACCAACTTCCAGTTTTAGGGACACCGTGGCTGATCTGGCCTGAGATGGAGCTCCGGGCCCGGGGTGGGGATGTGGGTTGTGACGCCGCAGCTGCCAAT